ATAAACACTGGTAACAAAGTAAAACTCAATAGTATAGTATTAATGACTGCTTTGAGAGAAATAGTTGTTTTATTACGCTCAAGGAAGGTTAGAATTGTGCTATTCCCCGAGGCTTGCCGAGGGGAATAGCCCAATTGTAACCTTCCCGAGAGCGTATGAAAACAACTATTTCTCGAATATTAAAGCAGTCATTAATACTTTTATATGCCGAAAAAAAATAGACTAAAAAATAAAAAATAAAAAATTTTTTTTTTTGTCGAAGGTGAGAGTCGAACTCTCGCGTACAATGAGTGATGAATCTTACACCAACGCCTTACACCACTCGGCCATCGCGCGCTGTTCACGAGCTTGGCAGTTTTGTACAATATATACATTAAAGTGGATTGAAACCGGCTTCGGCGTGATGAATGCTTCGCAAAAGCACCCTTCTTTTACTTTTGCAATGCATATTGGCACGAACTTAGATCAAGATCTATCGGCAGATGTTGTTTTTTTGTTTTTGGAAGTTTATTTTGGTTATCCTATACTTTAGTGTGTTTTATTATTTTGGGTTTCTAACTTCAGTTTAACCCTAACCCTAACCCTAACCCTAACCCTAACCCTAAACCTAAACCTAACCCTAACCCTAACCCTAACCCTAACCCTAACCCTAACCCTAACCCTAACCCTAATCCTAACCCTAACCCTATGATATGCACGTAGAGCTGTTAACTGAAGTTAGAAACCCAAAATAATAAAACACACTAAAGTATAGGATTGCCTTTATTTTCGTCTTCATGTCAACAATGCAAGATAAAATTGTCGGTAAGATCGATCGAGATTCAATTGTATTGAAATTACCGACCAATCCTTCGCACACATACGGTATCCTCGATCGCTCAAACCATTTTTTAACATGTAAACCTATGGGGTAACCATGGAGGCTGACCTATTTTTTAATAACCATGGTTATTAAAAATAGTAAATGTTTTATGCATGGTTACCGGGAATTTTACAGGAACAGTTGAAGTTTATGAATGCAATTCGACCAATCAGATGGCTGGATTTCTTAAGTGAGGTATATAACATCAAATAATATGTTCAATTATCTCTACATACCTGTATAAATGGTGCAACACAAACAGGCTAGTACATTGGCGGCCTTAAACTTAAGCGTGTCGGATGATGTAGAGTAAAACGTACTACCGGCTTCGCTTAAAGCAAGTGGACGAATGTCCGTTATAAAAAAAAAAATGCCCATCAGGGCCTTGCCTGACATAGCGCACGCCCGGAAGGACTACTTTTCGAGCATGAATGCACATCCTTCTGGACTTAGTATAATAATCCATTTTTAGAAAAAGAACAATAAAACATACATAAGAAAGTATCATAATTTCATTATGGTACATTTAACTTTACCTACAAACAATTATTTATAGATAAATAATCAAGGGACTACTTAGTACTTAACGTAAGTACATCAGACCCAAGTGACCATTAAAGTCATTAGGCTTCGGGTCTGACACGTATGTTTAAATTAGACATACCCAATATGCTGTACGGTGTTTAAAAATGAAAAACCAAGTTTTGAAAAGGTAAAAACGAGTTTGGTCACTACAGGAATATTGGAGAGATTATTGTCGGAAGTTCAATCGGACCGCTGACATTGATGCCGTGTGGAAAAAGATCAAAGACATACAAAAAAGTATGAACCAATCAATACTGAATTTGATTATGGAAGCTGGAAAGGTAATTAGTAAGACAGCAACTGAAAAAGCAAATATGTTTTGGAACGTTTTTTAAAGCCCAAGTCCACTCCAAAAATAACTTACTTTCAGTAGAACCAGAAAAATCAGACGAACCAATCAAAAAAAGTTTGAGCAAAATCGGATAACTAATAAGAAAGTTATGAATTTGTAATGACATGACAAACTTTGAAAATCACTACACAAATTGGCAACTCACTCATGAGTCTGTGACGTATGGTCCTCACTATCCACTAATTATTTTCTTTATATTGATAATGTAAATTTCCTATTTTCACCCTAAGAATCTTTTTTCTTCTCACCAGCATCCAAGTTAGATTGTTGGTAATATGTTTTTGTGTGGATGCACAAATAAAGAGTAATTTTTGTAGAGTTAAATCATGAAAAATTGAATTTTGATAATTTTTTTATATAAAAATCAATAATTATGAAATACAATATTCAGAAAATAGTATCAATTCTTAAAAATTCATAACAAATTCTGGGAAATGTCATGCATGCAACTATGATACAAATCATATAACCTGGGCAAAGGCATGGGGAAATCAAGTTTTGGGGGATAAAAAGGGAAATTAATGGGATTAAACTATATAAAGCAATTGATAAGTTGTGAGGACATGACGTCACAAACTGATAACCATCTTGGCAATTTGTGTTGTGATTCTCATTGTTCCATAGTTTTACATACTTTTCAACAATTCATAACTTTCTTATTAGTTATCCGATTTTGCTCAAACTTTTTTTGATTGGTTTGTCTGATTTTTCTGCTTTTATTGAAAGTGAGTTATTTTTCGAGTGGACTTGTCCTTTAACCCTCTAGATTAAGCTGTAGGGAAAGAAGAAATAGTAAAGAGAAAAGAAAGTGAAACAAAACTTTTAGAAATGATAAATAACATGCAAAACCACGAGAAAAATGTATTAAATGAAGATTTCCGCCTTAGTGAGCTTAATAGTGCTCTACTAGAATTAAAAAAAAAACACTGCTCACAAATCCTCTGGATGGCCATGCATTATGGCTCAAGGCATGGGCACACATTGGATTTTTTATGTTGGGAACCGAGGTAAAATGCAATAAATTATTGAAAAATTATTGCATTTTCTGTGTTTTTTTTATTTATTTATGGAAACTGCCCCCTACCCTAGCCCCGCTGCGTACACTCATGGTTCAGTGACAAAGCAATGGCCTTGTAACTGTGAGGCCCCATGATCAAAACCGTATCGATGTGCTATATTAGTGCCCTTTTGTGGGGCATTAATCTTCATTACTGTCATTTATGACTTAAGGGCGTAGGTCCCCTATTTGATAAGCATAGTAGCATACACATGCTTTAGCAATCACGCAAAACACACACTGTCTAATCATTATTCAATAAAATCTGAGAATGTATACTATTATCTAAGTCTATTATTTTTTAATTATTTTTAAAATAATTCCATAAATTGGGGTAAAACAAAAATATTCCACCTATATGAGCGAGTGTACATTTTATATATGCCGATATTAAAATTCCTCATTTTTAGACAAATGTGGCGCATGGGAAGAATTTTCCCCATCCACTCTCATCGTACCTTAAAAATTCCCTTTCTCTCTCTTTCTCCGCCTTTCGAAAAATATCTTCTGCAAGGTTTCTTCTCTTGACTGAACAGCCTGTTGGAATTCCTTTCTGTCTCACTTTTAGTCGTACTTGTTATTACCACTAATTTGCATGCACTCGCTATCAACTACGATCAACCATGCCATATTCACTCATTACTGTCCACATTTCACTTGGATTCTCTTCACTTTTTCTTTTTGCAGCCTTTGCAGGAGCTTTAAACATTTTTAATGTAGAGACCAGAGGGACCGGAAAGTATGTTAATCATTATTCAAATGTTCTAACTTGAAAAAAGAAAAGTGAAACATTGTTTAATTTCAACATCTTGACATAAAAGATTTTTTTTATTAAAGACAATTGAATTTAACACTGGAAATTTTGAATTGGGTTGTCACCCCCCCCCCCACCCCCCAAAGAAAATACAACAACAACCCAGAAGTGGTACCCGGGTTTTAGTTAGGAGGCCCACGTCCGGTATGATTTTTATTTTAAAGAATAATTTCTCTTTTTTATTAATTTTACATTGGTATACCGTAAATTTCACTAGGAAAACTATCCCTTTCCCTTAAAGGTAAAGACCAATATTGGAAACGCTCCAATTTCAAAAAATGAAATGGAAGCTCTTTATTATATTACCAATCATGTGAAAGAATATGTTTTGACTAATACATGATGATAAAAAATTTGCCGGGAAAACTGCCTACTAATTGATATATTTGGTATATTAGTTTATCTATTGGGATGTGAGAGATAAACGCACGTTTAGTGCTTGTTTTTACGAAGACTGGGCCAAATTTATTATCATTTTAATGATTCCAGAACCTTGCAGTACACACCAATACTTATGCTAAATGATCAACCTTTTCTGATCGATTCCACGTTTCTTTCACAATGCAATCGCATGACCATAACTGGTCTTTATCTTTAACAACCAACACTGCCATTATACTTATATTATTACTTCTAGCAACAGAAATGCTATAATTCATAACGTTTTCACTTTCTAAATCCTTCTTATATAAATATATGATAAACATAATGGGTGGTATTCTCTTAAGTTAAGCCGGGACTAAGTCCAGACTAAACAAGAATTTTAGTTCGCAATTCTATGGAATGCTAGGTTTCATCTTCCTCCTTCAATGTTCATGACAAAGATAATCTACCAAGGACTTTGTTGAAATTCAGTTTATACTCATATTATCTTTTTCTTCCTATTTCAGTGCAAAATTAATTTTTTGGACACTTTTCATTGAAGGATTAAAATAATCTGTTCAGGGTAAATTAGTTCACAACAGGCACTCCATAAAAGTGTGAACTAACTAAGCACGCGCTAACTTAGTACGGGCTACCGGAATACCACCCAATATTGTTTACACTTTTGCAATCAGTTACATGGTCCATGTAGAAACAGCACCAGGGAGAGGATAGCAAGCCCCCCCCCCTGTTTTCTTTAAGTTAGGAAGTATCAAAACATGATTCTATTAAAATTAGTAGTTTGAATACGAAAGGCAATGATGAAATGGCAGTCTTTCCATGTCTTTCTATATTTAATGCATTTAGAGGGTTGACTTTCAAACCTTCTTATACATACAATACTTGAAGCAGCAATAATGTAATAATTTACATTATTGTAATTATAATTAAAATATCATTGATTAATTCAATCTTTGATATAGATTGATAATAATAATAATAATAATAATAAATTACATTTATAAAGCGCTTAATTCAATGTTTCTAAGCGTTTAACATACAAGTAATTAGATCTTTATCACTCAAATTTCAAGGAAAAAATTTCTGCCCAGTCCTCCTATAAGATGGTAATTGACATTGTTAAAATTTTAATGTTCTGTAATAATCTGTAATTATTTAAAAGTTGACAAGATGATAAATTCATTAGCTTTATTGAATGTGGTATTCTACAAACATATAATACTAATAATAAATAAATATCATGTAAATACTCAAATTTAAACCCATCTCTACTGTCCTCTTTCATTATATGAGGGTGACATCTTTAAGACGTAGTCCCATGTAGATGTCTCCTGCATTCATCAATACAGTTATAGCATAGTTTTCAGAAGAAAGGGCTGTAATGATAACCCAAGTCTGTTGAATTGAAAAATGAAATAAGATACAGTGTATAAGAAAATCAACAATGACTAATAATAATACAGACATTTATAACGTGCAACATATCCACCCAGAGGGTGCTCAAGGCGCTTACAATGAGCTACATAACATACACCCTGATACCTAATAACATACACCCTGATACCTGCTATGACAAAATGACGAAGGACTGAAATTCACTTGGGGTTCTAGAGGGCAAACCCAAACTATTTATCCTACAAGACTAGTTACTGACCACATCTTAGATTATTTCTGATGATCCCATTAAGACGATAGGCCTGCTGGAGCTTGGATCAGACAAGGTATGAAATAACTAATACGTGTACAATGTACTTGTATTGTGAACTTGTGCTCATCATTGAATAATACTCGGTCAAGTATGGGACATACATGTAAAATGACCCAACAACTTGGACCAGAGAATGTACTGGAAATAATGCTACTGAAACATACGTTATGTAGACTTATATTTCATCTACACTGTTGGTCATAATGGTGGAATAATTTTTTGTACCCCAATTTTTTGAATGATTTTGACAATAATTCATTCCTAATAGATCTAGATAATAGTATACATTCTCGGATTATATTAAATGACAATTGGGAAGTGTTTGTTTTGCGTGATTGCTAAAGCATGTGTGTGCTACTATGCTAATCAACTAGGGGACCTACGTCCTTAAGTCATAACTGACAGTAATGGGGATTAATGCCTCATAAAAGGGCACTAATAATGCACATCGACACGGTTTTTATCCTGGGGGCTCACAGTAACGAGGCCATTGCTTAGCCAATGAATCATGACTGTACGCAGCGGGCGCTAGGGTACATCGAAGCGCCACTTGCTAATCAAACCACATTAGCTTTCGCATCCTACCGGGTACCCATTTTAACACCTGGGTGGAGAGTGGCAAATGTAGATCAATGTCTTGCCAAAGGACATTAGTGCCGCGGCGGGACTTGAACCGCGGACCTTGTGATCCACAGTCCGGTGACTTATCCACTCGACCACGACACCTCTAAAAGAAAGAAAGGAAAAAAAAGAAAAGAAAGAAAGGAAAAAAAAGAAAAGAAAGAAAGGAAAAAAAAGTAAAGAAAGGAAAAGAAAGGAAAGAAAAGAGAAGAAAGAAAGAGAAAAAAGAAAAAGAGGGAGGAGAGGAAAGAAAGGAAAAGAAAGAAAAGGGAAAAAAAGAGAAAAAAAAAGAGTAAAAGGGAAACAAAAGAAACGGGGGTGAAAGAGAGGAGAGAGAGGAGAAGTAAGAGCCTGAGAGAGGAGGAGTGGCAGTAACAGCAAGAAGGGGGTTGTTGGGTGGAGTCGTCTCGTTGAGGGAGCAAGAAAGACACGGGTAAATATGTTGCTATGTCGGGTCAGCTGTGTCGGTATTCTTGCTCGATCCTCGTGTACTATATCAATGCAGAAGTTTGAAGTGTATGATGTCGGTCGGCCGACAAGTTTTTTTTCACTACAAACTTTTTATCCGCTGTGACGACTTCAAAAGTGACTACAACTACAATACTTGTATTTTCTCGAAGTTTCACTTTCCTATAATATCAGCTAAAGAAATCAGAGGTTTAAAATTTTTGGGGAAACTAAATTCAAACAAGGTTAAGAGTCAACAACGGTACGACGAATCGTCTTCCTTTCTCTATATTGTGATGAAACGCCCCCCAAAAATACTGAATTCAGACAATTAAGGTTCAAGGTTCAAGGTTCATTTTATTTCTTTCTTTCACAACATTTTTACATATAATAGAACAAAAAACAGCATAAGAAAAAACAATTTAAGTGCAATTTTAAGTCGATATATAATCCAAATGAAAGAAAGTGGAGACCTTAGAAAAGCTGGGCTTACATACATACATACATACAATTGTCTTTTATATAGCGCAACATCCAACGAATTGCTTAAGAGCAAGGTCCCCATATAAAATAATCCATCAATGTTTCACTTTTAAAAAATGTTTCAAAGTTATCAAAACTACACATGATTAAATATGGGGGAAATATTTACAAAAGGGATAGCTTGAAATTTGAAAAGGAGAGGATGAAAATATATACAAAGGAATCGAGAGGAAAAAAGCAAACTGGAACGAGAAAAACAACAAAACAGAGAAAAACAGAGAAAGAAGAAAGTTATATGTATATAGGGGAAAATGGTATTTGGTGTAAAGAAAAAGAAAAATAGAAGAGAGGGGGAGGGGGGGGGGGGGGGGAGAGAGAGAATGTGAAATGCTGACATTTATATTGAATAATCAAACATAACAAAAACAAAAAGATAATGCACGTTATTAATAACAATTTACAAATTATTACCTAATATCATTTCTGGTGATATAATTTTTACGTTAATTGTCGACATAGTTACTCAATAAATGTAATTTCAATTTGCGTTTAAAAACAAAGACACTGACAGATCTAGTTACATTGATAGGAAGTGAGTTCCAAAATTTGGGACCAGTACAAGCCAGCGTCTTCAGAGCAAAAGCAGTTCTTACACGTGGAATATGAAGTGTAGTTGCCTGCCTTGTATTATAGCTATGAATTTGATTGTTCCTTCGAAATATTTGTACTAACGCATTTGTACTAACGCATTTGGGAGAGTACCATTTTCAAAACCATACATAATTGCGCCTAACTGTATAAAGTAAATGTCTTCAACCTTCAAAAGCTTATTACTGTAGAACAAAACATTAGTATGAGCACGATAGCTCGCATTAAAAACAACTCTAACCACCCTCTTTTGGGCAACACAAATCTTATCTAATTGTGTTTTCAATGACTTCCCCCATGCCAGCACTCCATAATTGAGATAAGGCAAAATTAAAGTAGAATACAAAATAAGCAAAATTTCTTGTGGGACAAAAGAACTTAATTTATAAATTACACCAGTATTTCTAGACACGACTTTACAAATATTAGTACAATGAGATGCCCAAGACAGCTTCTCATCAATATGTAGCCCAAGAAACTTGGTGGAAGTTACTCTCACAACGTTAACATCATCAAAAAATACATTTCCAGGTACATCCTTTAGGGAGTTACTAAAAAACATATAGTTTGTCTTTTGAAGATTCAAGGACAACTTATTTGCATGAATCCACAAAATAACTTTCTTTAATTCAATATTAACTGTATCTAATAAAACTTCAGGGTTTTTATGAGAAAAAATACACTTGAATCATCTGCAAAAAATATGAAAGATAGTACATCAGATGAAAGATAAAAATCATTAATATATAATATAAAAAGAAGGGGGCCAAGAAGAGACCCCTGAGGGACACCACAAGATATAGTTTGATGACTTGAGTAAGTCCCATTTAATGATACATATTGTTTTCTGCCTGTTAAATAGCTCCTGAACCAGCTAAGAGCAATGCCCCTCACTCCATAATATGACAATTTACTTATTAAAATTTCATGATCAACCGTATCAAACACCTTAGAAAAATCCAAAAATAAACCAATTGTATGAAGGTGACCATCTAGTGCTTGAGCTATTTTATCAACAAAGTGTAAAATTGCATGTGTAGTGGTGTGCTTTTCATGAAAGCCAAACTGGAATTTTGAAAATATTTTAGTCTTTTTTAAAAATATCACTGTTCTATCATATATAAGCTTTTCTAAAAGCTTTGAAAAGGATGTCATGAAATGGGTCTATAATTACTTAATGTTTGAGGATCACCCTTTTTAAATATTGGCACTACCTTAGCAATTTTCATTTGTTCTGGTACAATACCAGTTAAGAAAGACAAATTATAAATATGAACAAGTGGTATCACAATTCCATGTATAATATCCTTAATTAATTCATTTTTTATGCCATCAAAGCCAGGACTCTTATTACTTTTAAGCGAGCTCACAAGCTTAAACAATTCTATTTTATTTGTGGGCATTAAAAACAGGCTATCTATATTGGGTTCTTGCATAAACTCAATAAAGCTTTTCTGACATCTAGGAATAGAGTCCTGAAGTTTCAGCCCGACATTACAAAAATAATCATTAAAATTGTCCACAATAATTTGTCTATCTTCTATGGAACAACCATTCACATTTATACATTTGATATTTGTAGTTTTTACTGATGGTTTAAAAAAACTTCTAATTACTTTCCATGTATTCTTAATATTATTAAATGTCATTTGAAATTGAGCAGAGTAATATTTTTTCTTAGCATCACGCAATACAGAAGTAAGAGTATTTCTATAATTAGAATACTTCCTCCACAAAAAATCAGAGCTTCTCCTTTTATATTGATAATACAACTTATTTTTCTTAGTAATTGACCTAGTTATCCATGGCATACGAGGAACTTTATTATAATTCTTCTTTTTATATTAAACCAGAGGAACATTCTCACCATACAACAACATGAATTTATTAAAGAAACTATCAAAAGCACTTTCAACATTTTGGTCTGAAAGAACATCATTCCAATCAGTTGCAATTAATGCCTCTCTCAATTTGGCAATATTTTCAGGAGTTCCTTTACGGACAGACGTACTGTGGCCTCTAGGCTCACAATTCAATTTCACCGAAGACAACATACAGTATAGAGGAAAATGATCAGACATGTCAGATACTATAATTCCAGAAGGTGGATATGGTTGAACATTACAAAAAATATTGTCAATTAAAGTACTGGAAACTTCTGTTATTCTTGTTGGCTTAGTGATAAGGGGCAATAATGAGAAAGACATTAACATGTTTAGAAAAACATCAATTCGATTATCGTTATTACAAAGTAATAAATTCAAATTAAAGTCTGCCATAAGATAGAGTGACTTTCCAACTAAAAGTGGATTGTCTAAAATTGACTGAATTTCATTTACAAAACCATTAAAGTTACCATTTGGGGGCCTATATACAACTCCTATAAAATGATTCTTTTGACCAGGGTTATCAATCTCAACAAAGATAGTTTCTATATATGATCTGACATTATATCAAGATCGTGATGTATCTGGTATTCTACTTGGGGAAGGAATATACAAAGCAACACCTCCTCCACGTCTACTTTGTCTATTGTTGTTAACAAGATTAAAACCAGAAATAGAAAAAAGGCTCCTATCGGCTTCACTCGTAAACCATGTCTCAGTGACACCAAGTATTACACGTCCTAGATTGATATTATCAATGAATCTTAACATTTTGTCAAAATTCTTACAAACACTACGCATGTTTATATGAAGAAGAGTTAAGCCACTGTTCGCATGATTATATTTAGATGCTGTTTCAAAAAATTGATCTTCTGTATGATAATTACAATTAACATTAGGGATATCATAACCGTCACATAAATTGCTCATATTGTCTTCATAAAATCTACAAATTTCATCATCCATTTGAGCCATATTGATACTGAATGTGCAACATTACATGAAAGTATTGTATAGTAGGTGGCTGGCAATACAGACAAACATGCAAGAAAGGAGAAAACGTGACAAAAAAAAACTGCATAAGGTGAAATAAACTCATATTCAGCAATTCATGTAGGGTACTGAGAAAAGGGGAAACGGGAAAAGGAAACTGGGATAGACTCAGAAATGGGGAATGAAGAGAAGGGCAATGAAAAACAAGGAAAATTGTAACATCAAGCATAATGAAAAGAAAAAAAGTATATAAGATACAAGATACAAAAAACAAAGCATGTCAAAAAAGTACAAACTGTACATTAATAGCACACTTAAAACCAGACATGGTTATCTGACCATGGCAAGACAATGTAGGAACTAGTAAGTTAACTGTTAATTGTTCAAGTCTTCGAGAGAGTTGATCGTCCTTTTTAGTTCTTTGCCGTTTGTGGCAGGGACAAGGGCAATAACTCGCCCATCCCTGGTCCACGCAGCCTTGACCTCTTTACTGTCGCGGGTCGCCTTCAGCAGCCTCACGTTTTCTTTGGTCAAGTCCTCTTGAATTGACTTTCGTGTGCCGGCAAGCTTACATCTGCTGGCCAGAACTTCACTTCTCTTCCTGTATGATTGGAATTTGACAATAATTGGCGCAGGTGAATTGGCCTTTCCTGGATGTTTCGGCAGGACTCTCAGGCGATGACTTCTCTCGATGTCATGCTTTTCGAGACAAACACCAAGTGAGTCGTTCACCAGATGAATGACTGCCTGGTCAGTGACCTCATCTTGGCGCTCAGGGATCCCGAAGATACGAAGGCAGTTTCTTCGGGAGTACTGCTCCTGGGCATTAAGCTCTCTCTTCAGCAACTTAATTTGCTCATCTTTTCGGGATGAAGCAGCAACCAAGGTCTCCAGCTTCTTGCTAGCACTCTGGGCACCAGTTTGCAGATCCATGATCTTAGCCTCCTGGTGGTCAATGGCCTCCCTCAGATCGCACTCGCTCTTGTGGGCCTTTTGCTCCATAGCAATAAGCCGTGCCTCCTGCCTGTCGATGGTCACCTGCATCTCGGTCAGCCGGCTATCAATGTGGTTTTTCACTAGGTCAATAAACCTGTCATCACCGACAATATCAGCCAAGACAGATTGGACAAGTTGTGCTGCATCCACCTTGGAGCCATCATATTGTTAGCCATGTTGGGCATTGGTACGGAAAGCGTTTCACCAATCAGCAATTACAGAACAAGATCATAGGATGACAAGACACAATCCAAAGTGTACAGCAAATGTTAATCTTAGAGCACTGCTGGAGTAGGAAAGCTGTGATAAATTAAGATATTTGTGTCCTGAAACATATTTCCTCTAGATACTCGTAGTACGAATCAAACAGTGGTCATTATTTTGGCATAGTATGCCGTTATTGCCAAGTAACACAGAAGTGAGTGAATGGGAATGTAGTATAGGATAACCACATGACCGGAGTCTCTACTTACTGCCAAAGAGTCAAGATATCATTGAAGTAATTCAACAAAATTCCTCATAGCATTGTCTGGCAGGTGCTAAATGTTCCTTAGAAAAAAGCCATTACACGAGAAAGTCAGATTGTCTCCGCCACAAGAGAAATGAAGGATGACAAATTGATCGCGTGTGTGTTATCGTGTTGTGTGTTCGGGCACGAATTAGGGCTTATTAAGAGTCGAAAACGGTACAACGAATCATCTTCTTTCTCTAATAATTTAATGAAACATCAAAATGTCCACGCTTTGCGCGGGAGGGGGAAGCTTAATTTAGACAAGAATTAAGAGTCGGGCACGGTTCAACAATCGTCTACTTTCTCTAATAATTTAATGAAACGTCAAAACCTCCGCGCTTCGCGCGGAAGGGGGACAACTGAATTCAGATAAGGATTAAGAGTCAAAAACAGTACACCAAATAGGGCTTATTAGGAGTCGAAAACGGTACAAACGAATCGTCTTCTTTCTCTAATAATTTAATGAAACGTCAAAGCTTCCGCGCTTCGCGCGAGAGGGGGAAACTGATTTCAGATGAATAGGGAGTAATAAGAGTCAAAAACAGTACGACGAATTGTCTTCCTTTCTCTATATTGTGATGAAACGCCAAAAATTCAGCGCTTCGTGCGACGGGAGAAAACTTCATTTAGACGAGTTGAGAATGGTATAACAAATTGTCTTCTTTCTCTAATAATTTAATGAAACATCAAAATTTCCGCGCTTTACGCGGAGGGGAAAGCTTCATTCAGACAAGAATTAACAGTAGAGAACAGTACAGCAAATCGTCTTCTTTTCATAATAATTTAATGAAACGTCAAAGCTTTCGCGCGGGAGGGGAGACTTCATTTAGACAAGGATTAACAGTCAAGAAAGGTACAATAAATCGTCTTCTTTTCCTAATAATTTAGAGGCCTATCACCCACACCCCCTAATGAGCGCTCTTTAAGTGATTCGCTTGCTCACTACCGCCCTCCCTAAAATAAGATCCTAGCTCTGCGCCTGCATTAAAATATATCAGCTATGATGCTGACTAAGTTGACGAAATAATTTGTATATTTATGTCGTTGAGGAAAATGACCATTTGCGCATATGCAAGTACTTTAGATAGTCCATAGGAAAAACAATTTAGCCTTCGGCCCCGGGTTTATATAGGATTAAATTAGTAGATATTGGACATTTAATTTTGTCAATAATCGTTGGCCTCTACACCCCCCCCCCCCCCCCCCAATGAAAAAGGTCTAGCGACGCCCCTGCCTACAGAGGATTTTGTCCTGTTGGGGATTGGGGGAAAATGCAATGAATCATTGATAATTTATTGTATTTTCTTTGTTTATTTTTTTGGGTGGGGGCGTCGACGTACCCTAGCGCCCGCTGCGTACAGTCATGATTCATTGACTAAGCAATGGCCTCGTTACTGTGAGCCCCCGGGATAAAAAAACGTGTCGATGTGCTATATTAGTGCCTTTTTATGAGGCATTAATCCCCATTACTGTCAGCTACAACTTAAGGACGTACAATGTAGGTCCCCTAGTTGATTAGCATAGTAGCACACACATGCTTTTGCAATCACGCAAAACAAACACTTCCCATTGTCATTCAATATAATCTGAGAATGTATACTATTATCTAGATCTATTAGGAATGAATCATTGTCAAAATCATTCAAAAAATTGGGGTACAAAAAATTATTCCATCATTATGACCGACAGTGTATATCAACATTTTATTTTAAATCTAAATCACAATTGTGATATTCAGTAAAGTATTCTTCTACAAGTAGCGGACAATGAAAGATATCTTTGTCAGATCTATAACTTTCTGCATGATATGTGTTCGACAATAGTTTATTGGGGGTACCTACATTGCATATTAGCACACTTGCTCGTACGAGGTGTGGTAGGCCCGCATCTCTAAATATGATTCTGTCAATATCTGTTCTTTGTTCCTCTCCTGGGTTTGTAATCAGCATGCATTCATCATCCACTGTAGAGAAGCATCATCCTGCATAAGAGAAAACAATGTAGGTACTTCAATTAAAAAGTGATAATAATAGAAACACATCAACCATAATACATCCTTTAAACAGACTTCCATTAATCTTTTTTTGTGTTCTTCTTCATCTTCATTGCACAAGAAGTGAAAGTACCACTTACAAAAAAAAAGTAATGAGGGGTCTTGTGTTTACCCTACATGTATGATCATGTAGTGCCTTGAATGTGCATTAGATATCGTTCTTCTACACACAGGACCTCCAGTACATAAGGATAAAATTCCCTTTGTAAACAAAGAAAGGAAAGATATCAATATTTGTGTGCTAAGTGCAGAACTAGTATACAAATATACACTGCCTTGAGAGGTTCTGGTTAAAACTATGTGCAAGAGGTGACTCCAATAGTACTATTTGCTGAGGGGCGCAGCCCGAAGCAAATGGTACTTTTGGAGTCACCGAGGCCCATAGTTTAACCAGTACCTCGAATAGAAGGCATGGTATATTTGTTTTATATCCTGCATCAAAAATTTATTTAAAAAAAAAAAATTAAAAAAAAACATTTTTGGGAAAAAAAAATTTAGAAAAAAAAAAAATTTCCAAAAAATGTCAAGTTTTATCTAAAAAGATTTAATTTTTTTTATTTTCATTAAATTAAGATTTGAAGAAAAAAAATTCACATTTTTTTTTCAACTCCCAAATAGTAAACCAAAATAGTACTCTCATATAGTACTTTCTAAAAATAGGTCAAATATTTTTGGTCATGTAAAATAAAATATACCCTCCACTACATACGCTTGCAACATAAACTTAGTTCGATTTCCTTTTTAGTGAATTAATAGTTGGTCGTTTAATATTTGTGTGCTAAATATCCTGAAATTTTTTACCTGCATGGCACTTTCAGCTTCATCTTGCAAATATTAGTAATGTTGTAATGTCTACTCGTCAGTTAACTCCTTCCAGCTCTTCAGCAGTTTCAATCTGTTGGAACAAAAAGAAAACAAAATCAATATAACAATTACTCTCTAAAGTTTATGAATAATAACTCGTATTAATCACATTACATCTTAAGCGGGCTCCATATCGGGAGAGCTACAAATCTATCCTTTGTGAAGTAAACAAAAATATTAATCGTAGAGCTTGAGGATGAAAAAAAGAAAAGGAGGTAATGATTCAAACTGATGTTATATCCCGTGTTGTGAGATAAATGGAGTTCAGATAATCCCCTAAAATACTTGGAATCGCCAGGCTTATAACCTGTATTGACAATGTACGTACAGCGATAAAGCGGGCTCCGAAACTCTATGACGGGCTCCAATTCTTTGCGAAGTATTAAAATAATCATAGAAAATGATGAAAAAAGGAAAATGAGGTGACGATTTGTTGAAACTGATGTTAGATAAATTATGTAGTGTTCTGAGATAAATTATGTAGTGTTCTGAGATAATATGTAGTACAATATACCCCTAAAATACTTGGAATCGGCAGGCTTTAAACCTGCATTGATGTACGTACAGCTAAAGCGGGCTCCGAAACTCTTATGACGGGCTCCAATCAGTCTGCGAAGTATTAAAATAATCATAGAAAATGATGAAAAAAGGAAAATGAGGTGACGATTTTGATGAAACTTATAACAGTGTTCTGAGATAAATGGAATAACCCTTAAAAAACTTTGAATCGCCTGGCTTAAAACCTGTATTGATCTACGTACAGCTAAAGCGGGCTCCAATCCTCTATGAAGCATTAAAATAATCGTTAAATGATGAAAAAAGTAAAAGAAACTGATATTTATAATTATTATGATTAATTATAGAGATGATGAAAAAGGGGGAAAAACTAGAGAGGATTTGTTGAAATGGATGTTATGTAGTGTTCTGCGATAAATGCTGTACAGATAAACCCCTAAAATACTTGGAATTGCTTGGCTTTAAACCTGTATTGACCAATGTACAGCTTTAGCGAGCTCCTCTTGAGTGAGGTATGACAAAAATAATAGAGATGATGATGAACAATACATACAATAAACAATCTCATACTTTCATTTTTTTTTCAGACACATATATAACATTCCTCCCTTTTTAAAATGAGATTTTGGCGTTTTCACCTGAAACCACTTCTACTTTAACCCACTAGACAAACTTAGTTTCAAAAACATAGCAACCATCAACTTCACTCTTACAAAACACTTATGAAAACACATGCAATCTAACTTTTGCATATGGCATGTTTTCTACATCATGTAAAATGAAAAAAAAACTGGCACAATACGTTTTATATTAGTGATCTGTTAAACCAAAGTTGTAAGTATCCACTACAAAATACCATTGTAATGACATCTATGACATGTGTCAGATAAAGTGCATACAGAATTCTTTTCCTTTTCTTTTACACATGTATGTTAAAAGAAATACATATATACAGGGTGTGATACAACTTTATATTATCTACACCAAACTACACTGTTCTCATTACATGGAGAAGTTACATCAGAGTTATGAATCACAGTCAATTAACTCCACCTAACAATGACCTAACTAACTCTACCTAGCAATCACCTAACTCAGATTCAGATTCCTGATCATTCAGATAACCAACTCCTTGAATTAAAAGAAGGTTCATCAATAAAGAATTCCACCATGACAATTAATATTGGTACAATGCATTTTTTTTACAAGACTTATTTATTGGTTTGAATGTGGCACCATACCCTGGTAATTCAAGATGTCGATCGAGGTACATTATTAACAATATGATTAATGTCCATGGTAATTACAAATTTTTTGCAATGAAAGAATTCAGGTGAGAGAATTGGCATATTTAATTTGCAGAGTATGATGGCGAGAAGAGAGGCAGCAGAGTACAAAATAAGCACACAAACTTTAAAAAAGCAAGCTACAAATCTCTAGTTTGTAATTCCGTTTCCGTGAAATTGCCCTACTACTTAAAGATATACTATGTCCCTTAATTTGCAGCCAACCTCAAATTCTTTAGAACTTTGCAGAAATTATGAATATGTCATGTATGTCCTCTCTGTGAAATTTAAACGTTAGCAGTTTCATAATATTCATATTATGCTAGGAAACCCATTTACTTGCTAGACTTCACTGTCAGACATTATTGAATGACTGACTGGCTTTTTTCTTCTTTGGTAATAACATACATAAACTAGATTTGTAATACTTGTTTGGAACAAGTATAGGTGGGCTGATCCAACAAAAAATTGAGACAAAATGAAGGGTACATCTGAGATAGCTTTTTGTCTCAGCTACAACATACTCGAAGGTCAGCGTAAATGAAGCTAAAACGACGTAGATATTGCTCGTGAAAGACGGGAATGTAGAATCAAGTTTTGAGAAAAAGTCTAACCCATAGAGAATACACGCAAAATGTGAAAAATTGACATGCCTCCTTTAATCGCAAAAATACGCCATGATGCCTTTGTCAAAGTGAAAAATTGTGAATACTGGATTTGTAGAGAATTGTCTCAGCTAGAACATATCAAAATTTTGAAGACAATCGATCAATTTTTACAAAGATACAATCAATTTTACATAAATATGCTGACGTCATAATATGCAAATTGAAATTTTGAGTTTGGAGGCCATTATGATGACGTCATGAGTTAATTGAGGGTCAAATGAAACATGAAATCATATCTCCGATTCATACTCAATCAAAATATGAAAAAAAATTGGGGTCACCTTGCATCCTAAAGAGCTACAATGGATTTTGCATAGGCATGTTTTTGCCCATATATGCTATGTATTACAAGAGCTCGCGCGCACGGAAATTTATGTTTAACGGTCGATCATTCCGTCATTAATAGTCATAAAGAGATAAACATGCTATCAATTTGTTTGTAAAAATATGTGGAATATTATGAAAGAAAAAAAAATGGGGATTCTATGTTGTGTAATTGTTTAACGCGCGCGCATGCGCGCAATTTTTTATAGAATGCTTAGAATGGCCTAAAACGTATGCAAAATGATTTTAAGACGATTTTGAGCATTTCAAAATTTTGCGTGCGCATTGACGGGCGGACGTACGCGCACGCGCGCGTTCTTTGACCTGAAATTGACCGGACGGATATTGACCTTGATCATGATAAATATGAATGAGAAATAGCTTTCGGTTATGAAGATATGATCATGAGTTGATTTTCGTAAAATTTTACAAAATGGCGCCTAGATGACGTCATCAGTCAAGGTCAAAGTTGAAAAAATTTCTGTGCTTTGTACATATGCCTATACATATGTGTGCCAAATTTCAAGGCATTTGATCCAGCCATTTTCAAGTTATCTTGTCCACAAAAAAGTGGTTAGAAATAAGAAAAATAAAGAATAAATAAATAAATACAGGCAATTCTAACGAAATTATAAGGTGGTCTGTACGTTATACAGCCCACCTGATGAGCTGTAAAGGGTACATGAGCATTTGTTTACATCATTAACCCACTTTTTGTAATGGCAAAAAATAAAATTGATTGGATCTTTCCGCAGTATAAAACGTACGATCATTCGGTACAATGGTCTGAAAATCAAGATGATTACTTATTGGGTCTATAGCTCCTAAGTCGATTCATTATTTTCCCACTTAAAGACATTTTCAAGCCCCCCTTATTCTAGGAAAGTTCTAAATTAGTATTATCTTTCAAATACCGTTGGAATTTAACCTTTTCATTTTTTGGGGCTGCAAATGGGACATAGTACCTTTAACATGTTTTTAATCAAAAATAAATAAATAAAAGTTATGTCACTTGCATAAAAAAGAATGAACATGGGCTAAATATAGAGTTGAGCCCCAGAAATCCGATAGAGGTTATGTTGAAATTGATGGAATGTAAAGTCTTTGAAGAGGAATATCGCCTTGTATTATATAGTATAATTGCATCATATTTTTTGTATACACTGAGTTTCTACTGTAATTATATGACATTACATTGAACTTTTATTTCCCCTCTATCCATCTGTCAAATAAACAGTTTTTCTGAATCCTACTGATATCTTCACATTTGAAAACATACATCAGCTTAATACATTTGAAAATAAGTTTAAAATACCTCCATTGTTTTTACTTCTAGATTCAGTAACATCAAAATAATAGTGATCCAAGCAAAATATCACATTGGTATTTAAAAAATACAAAAAATTTAAAGGAATGTTTGATACTACTAATAATAAACTTCTTTCAATCTAGCGCAGAATTATAAATGCTTTGGATGCACTTCACCACAATCAATAAAGCAACATATTACATGGTTAGTCTGAAGATTTGAATATACATGTAATAGCAAATAGTATAAAATGATGAAAAGAAAATAAGAAACAATCTAAATGGTATAAAGTGAGCTCGTATCCTTCTTCACATTAAGAATATTCTCCCTTCAAAATGATATCCTTAATTATTTTACTATTAACTTCTCATTGTTTATACCATGATACAGGTGTGCTATATATTACAAAGAAAAATGTTAACTTCTTTCCTTTTCTTTTTTAAACTTCAGAAAAATACTTATTTCTATCCTTCATTCGTAAAACGATTTGGTATACAAAATTAACAAGTTAGGGTCGCACATTTATTTAGGCCCCAAACGATTAATAACTTCAATTCAAGAGTTGTAACGTAAATATAGGCTCACATACCATCGATATCAAATCACCACATCATATTCTATGCATTATATTCTTTGCATCATATTCTTTGCATCATAATCTACTTGTGGGACCGAATAACAAACTCATGAAAAATTTGGTAAGCCTAGAGATTATGGTATTAACAATAGTTACAGGGCCATAATTTGGGGTAATTTCATTTCCGATCCGTGCCTAAAGTTCATAATTAAATTCTGATGGTTATGAAAGTTAGTTAAATATTACGAAAATGTCAATATTTGTGTTTTTAGCTGGTACTTTCAAAGTATTTTTCTATGAGATATACTATACATAGCTAGCTCGTATCAGATAGAGTATGTATTATATTTTAAATTTGTTTCATTTGCTCGTGTATCTTTATGTATTTTCTAATTGTTTTACATCAAAATCCACCATTTTAGAGCTTACACAAGAAATACCCTAGACACAGTCATTCCGGTAAAACACACATTTCATCCCTGTGGAAAAATGAACTACCGGTAGTTAAGCACACTCCTGCACAGGAGATAGGGGAAAACAATGGCCATTGATCGCCTTCTGCACTTCATCAAGTTAAAATTTGAGTTCTGAAATACAATTTGTATTTTATAGCAACCGGCGAGCAATTAATACTTCATTAAAACAAATAATAAAATCTTCCAAAAGAGGAATTGTTGATATACGTTGTCGCTTGACGATCCATGGAAGATTTTGACCCCAAAACATCATTAGAAGTTTACATTCCCCACGGAGAGTACCTTTCCTTGCAGCTGGAGAGTAGCGACAAACAGTTATGAATTATGCATGTATGTAGATAAGATGAGCCAAATTTTGAGTCGATTGACCAATCAGGGGCCGTTTGCTGCTCCTAAAGCTCTAAAATCATGAATGCAAATCGTGATCAACCGAGAGGACCGACTTGGAAGTGTGCCAAACTTTCTGTCCATCGCTTCACTACAGACACTAGGGCGTTTTGCAAACACGACGGAAAAGGTGAAGGCGATGGTAACGCGAGCGAAAAAACGATCTGTGCATGCTCGAACCGGAATTTTTACGATTGACGTGGCCATGATAGCGTTTGTTCCCTAAACAAGACGGAAGAGCTGTATCGCCCAAATTCCTCATCGTCTATGCTTCCGTCGTCTTTGCGAAAACGCTTTATTGTGTGCTGGCTATATGCTGACAGTGAGCGAACCTCGCGTTCAACGAGATTACATTTCATTTTGAAGTGCCTACTTATACAGGGCACTGCAGGTGCATCCACCGTCCACAGACGTCGCATTTAGCCCATGTCGATGCCGTCTTGCCCCTTACATTCTTGCTGGAGCAAGACGGCATGTCACACTCTGCATCACCCTGCAGAGAGGTTTTGGCGTGTGTAATGAGAGTGTTCCAAACATGATTTCTCATTATATCTCCATACTTCCCCATTTTTATTGTATGAAATCCTTGCACCAGAGACAGAGCATTCTGAAATGCAAAATAAAGCAAGGAGAGAGAAATTAAAACAGAAATAGAATTTTATCTCATTTGCAAGTACATAAATCAAAATATATATTTTTTACTTCAACAAAAAAATATTTTTGCTCAAAGAACTTCCCTATATATAATGCTTTATAAACTTGGATATTTTATTCTACCTCAACCCACCAATCCCATACATCAAATACCGATAGATTGATTCTCAACCCAAGGAGTCAAAATTTATGCCTACACCCTTGTAAGATCAGAATTTATTTCAATTTTCCCCCTCATATTGTCTCCAAAATCTTGTCAAATCATTTAACTCCACTATGCATACGTGAGACTAGTTTGATGTCAATCTGTCAAAAGCTTCCAAAGTTTTTACACAAATTGTATTTGGTGACCCCTGTGACCTTAACTTTGATCCAGTGACCCCAAAATGTAGACAGATTGTCGGCCATCCACATTGGACCTGCTATGCAGTTTCATGAAAATCTGTTCAATATGGTTCCATTAAAATATCATGTACACAAGTTATTTTCACATTTTTATTAACCTCTGACCTAACAATTTTTACTTCATGACCCTATAATGTAATAATGTAATTAGCTCATGGGTAAAAAATAATGAATCTAGCTATGAAGTTTTATAAAAATATGTCCATTGCTTCTTGAACTGCAGGTATCACGTTCACAAGTTTGTATGGAGAGACGACCCTAAAACAGGCATAACAAAAGTCAATCAATCTAAGCAGGATGGTCTTCAAGTAATTCTGACCTATTAATAGTTTTGGTTTCCTATCATCCATACTATGAAATGAGTTCCACACAGAATATCATTAACAAATATCTCACCAACATCACAAAAGAGCAACAAGAATGCCCATCACTCTGCCTTGCAGATTGGGTATGTCCAACCTTCCACTCTTTTCCTTGAAGGTCACCAGTTTCATTGGTTCGGTACTCCATGTATCTCCTGTGATTATTCACCAACATCCATAAAAAAAAGGGATAAAACCAAACAGAAGTGATTGAATCATTTTTTTTAAACATCCCAAAGGAAAATATGAAACAACTCTGAATAATCCTTAAATTTAATTAAACATATATAAATAAATTAATCTTAGGTTGCAAAATAATGATTAAAGGCAGTCAATAAGCGGCATTTTTTTGCTGTCCCAAGAAAACATATGTATATGTATCTATTCAATTGTAGCACATATAAGAACATGCGTCTAATAATATATCAAATGCACTGAAATAATTCATATATTCTTATGAGAAAATTGCAGTTTATAGAATTTACAGTACACAACATTGGGAAGAGCCTTCGCAAGTGACGTCACAAAGGTAATTTGTTTTTTATACTTGGTTGGATTTTCCGTCAAACCTTCATTGATATTTTTCTTTCACTTTTCTGCTTTTATTAAAATAATTTATATTTTGGGGTGGACTTCCCTTTTAATGGTAAGAAATACTACTATATTAGATAGCTTAGACAGATACCGAGATGTGATTGGTCCAGAGCTCGTCCATGTGATATCAATTGCGAGGATCCAAATTGTTATATTTTCCTGGCCGGTCACTTTTCAGTGTTATATTTTACCGGCTGGTGAAATGAATATATTTTTAATCAATGCATGTCGCCCTCTTGAGGACTGTATGTCACCAATTACACACATTTTTTTTTTTCCCTAGAAATTATTTTTTCCACATTTCGAGGGTCATTTTATTTTTTCAATATTTTTTTTTCATGAATTTTTTTTTCCCTAGAAATGATTTATTGGGTAAATTTTTTTTTTAATAATTTTTTTTTGTTTCCCGAAAAATGCTTCCAAAAAATGCTTTTTTGGGTAAGCATTTTTTTTTTTCGATTTTTTTTTTTTAAAGATAATCTCAACAGATTATTTTTCTGTAATTTTAATTGTCCCCTAAAAAAAAAAAAAAAAAATTGGGGGCAAAAAAAAACATGAGACCCCCCCCCCCCCACAAAAAAAAAACCCAAGGCTATCTAATATAACAGTTATTGACTGGCAGGGGGTATATAACATTCTTTGGACCTGAAGGGAGTTATATTTTCCCTCTGGAAAATATAACCACTTGGGAAATATAACTCCCTTCAGCGGTCCAAATAATGTTATATTACACCCCCTGCCAGTCAATAACTGTATAATGCTTACATGAACTTTTCAAGGATGAACTTGGATGTATCCGGTCTAGGAAGCGAGTCCAATATTGACACTTCTCCCTTGGTGACATCTGCAGCTACAAGAACCCAGTGTGATTGATTAACATTGACTGGAAGGAATAACCATCTGTACTTCAGTAGGTTGACCTGTGCACATAGTTTAAAAAACAATTCATATTTCATTGAAAATATAAATACATGTATCAGTAGATTAACTGTAGTAATAGTCCTAAGAACAAAATTAAACAATTAAATACCTGTAGATGGACCTTTTACTGCGTGCATAGTCTAAAATGATGCCTCCGCCATGGAGCAATTTTACAAAACAGACTGATTTTTATGCCTCCGCCACCGAAGGTGGTGCCGGAGGCATCATGTTTTCGGGTTGTCCGTCCGTACGTCCGTCCCGTTTGACCGTTATCACAATATCTCAAGAACCATTTAAGATTTAAACTTAAGACTCGGGAATAGTATTTATCACCATAGGAAGACGATCTGATTAGATTTTGGAGTACGTAGGTCAAAGGTCACAGGTCACAGAGGTCAACTTATGAAATTCCTTGTATTGAGTTTGTTAGCGCGATATCTCAAGAACCATTTGAGATTTAAACTTCAAACTTAAGGATAGTATGTATCACCATAGGAAGACGATCTGATTAGATTTTGGAGCACGTATGTCAAAGGTCAAGGGTCACAGAGGTCAACTTATGAAATTCCATACATTGAGATTGTTATCATGATATCTCAAGAACCACTGGAGATTTAAACTTCAAACTTAGTGATAGTGTGTATCACTATAGGAAAACAATCTGATTACATTTTGGAGCACGTAGGTCAAAGTTCAAGGGTCATAGAGGTCAACTTATGAAATTCCATACATTGAGATTGTTATCATGATATCTCAAGAACCACTGGAGATGTAAAAACTTCAAACTTAAGGATAGTATGTATCACCATAGGAAGACGATCTGATTAGATTTTGGAGCACGTAGGTCAAAGGTCAAGGGTCACAGAGGTCAACTTATGAAATTCCATACATTGAGATTGTTATCATAATATCTCAAGAACCACTGGAGATTTAAACTTCAAACTTAATGATAGTGTGTATCACCATAGGAAGACAATCTGATTAGATTTTGGAGCACGTAGGTCAAAGGTCAAGGGTCACAGAGGTCAACTTATGAAATTCCATACATTGAGATCGTTATCGTGATATCTCAAGAACCACTGGAGAATTTTCACTTCAAACTTAATGATAGTATGTATCACCATATCATAATATCTCAAGAACCACTGGAGATTTAAACTTCAAACTTAATGATAGTGTGTATCACCATAGGAAGACAATCTGAATAGATTTTGGAGCACGTAGGTCAAAGGTCAAGGGTCACAGAGGTCAACTTATGAAATTCCATACATTGAGATTGTTATCATGATATCTCAAGAACCACTGGAGATTTAAACTTTAAACTTGTTTAAATTGCTCTATGGCGGAGGCATCATTTTCGACTGCGCGCAGTCAAAATTCCATCTAGTTTCCTCATATTTTGATTTTCAACGTAAACACAACGTACACGTAAACTTTCTTCAATATTATGGCTTTTGTCAGTTATCTGATTTGGTTTTAATAAAAATGTCATACCAAAGGTCGTTGATCCTACATGTATCATCCCGTAAGCATTGTTATTAATAATAAAAGTGAAAAAAGTTAGGCACATATATACTATTCTTTATTGAAGCATAAGATAAAGCAATGTAAAAGTCTTACAAAGTGGAAACAGGACTTTGACCTTGACAATACTGTATGGAGTTCTTATTACCTTCTTCCCTTTAATTCAATTGTCGATGTTAACATGAGGTGGTTTCAGTTCAAGATACTGAATAGAATTCTTTATATGAAAGATGCTTTGTTCAAATTTGAATTAGTTAAAGATAACTTATGTACATTTTGTTATAACAGTGTAGAAATGATTATGCATAGATTTTGTTACTGTATTCATTTAAACAAAATATGGTCAAAACTTGAGTATTGGCTGTCCCGTAATAATGTATCGTATTTTGAAGTCATGTCTAAATTAGTCATGACTGAAGTTAAACAACTGTTTAGTTAGACACGACTTAACTACAAAGTTGTGCTTATAACTTTAATCACAACTTCTGCTCATGCCCTGTAGGTGTTAATTCTGACATTCCCGCAGACGATAGACTCATGCAATGCGCATGCGTGCGCGCACCAGATAAATAAATTTATGCGCACACCTAGCTGTGCGCATGCTAGTTATGTGATCGTGACGTCATGACTAGACATGTACTGTAGGCCTACCAGTATGTACTGCACTGGCCCACAGTACAACCACACTAATCACTTATCAGTGCCTCAGTGCCTTAGAATATCCAGAAAAGAAACTTCTCCAACAGAATGGATAGTCTATTATAGAGTATGGAATTTCCAAGATGTCACCATTAGATAAGAATAGTTAATATTATTGAGAAAAAAAATCAGGCTACACAAGAAAAAATCCTGCAAAACGTATTTGAAATTGTAGAGGATGCATGTACCATTGTTCTCCCCTGCAAGTTTGGGGTCAGCAGGTAGAGTGTACCGTACACTTTGAAACGCACCAGAATCGCGCCCTTAAACAGGACTTAAACAACCCCTCGCAGTCATCTAAAGTTAAACAGGACTTAGACAGGACTTTAACTTTTAACTCCTGTTTAACTTGATTTAATCACAACTTCAGAATGCAAACTAGATGGAATTCGACTGCGCGCAGTTGAAAATGATGCCTCCATCATAGAGCAATTTTACAAACCAAAACAGAAGAAATTTTTCGGATTCAAGTTCAATTGTAATCCATTGACAGGTTCTCAGAATATCGTGATTACAAGCAATTTCTCATATACATATATGACCCTTTGATCTTTGACCTCATGACCCTAAAATCTACTCAGTTCATTGGCTGTGCAAGATGTCCTGAGTTAAAAAGTAATCCATCTGTCAGTTCTAATGAGAATGCGTTCACAAGCTATTTTTGCATACATAATGAGCCCATTATCTTTGACCTTTGACCTTATGAACCAAGAATCTACTCAGTTCATTGGCTCTGCAAGTAACATACATGAACTAATTTTGGCAGGAATCCATCAATCGGTTCTTGAGATAACGCGATCACAAGCTGTTATTGCATACATAATGTGTGCTGTGGCCTTTGACCTTTGACCTCATGACCACTAAATCTAATCAGTTCATCGGCTCTGCAAGTAACATACATGACCTAAGTTTGGCAGCAATCCATCAATCGGTTCTTGAGATAACGCGATCACAAGCTGATTATGCATACATAATGAGCCCTGTGACCTTTGACCTTTAACCTCATGACCCAAAATCTAATCAGTTCATTGGCTCTGCAAGATACATACATGACCAAAGTTTGGCAGGAATCCATCAATCGGTTCTTCAGATAACGCGATCACGAGCTGTTTTTGCATACCTAATGAGCCCTGTGACCTTTGACCTTTGACCTCGTGACCCCAAAATCTAATCAGTTCATCGGCTCTGCAAGATACATACATGACCAAAGTTTGGCAGGAATCCATCAATCGGTTCTTCAGATAACGCGATCACAAGAACGGGACGTACGTACGTACATACGTACGTACGTACGGACGGACGGACAACCCGAAAACATAATGCCTCTGGCTACTTCGTAACGGAGGCATAAAAAAGTTAGTCACGACTTTGTGACTAATGTTAGACTGAACTTCGACAACTGTTTAGTTAAACAGGAGCTAGACAAGATTTCAGAATACGGGCCATTAAGTTTAGAAATCAAAATAAGTTGTTTTGGTTTCATGGTAATAATAACAGTGCCCTCAACTGTATTATGATTATAGTAAGGAAAGAAATTTTTGCAGCCAAAAGCAAACAGTGTTTGCCAGTTTTTGAACACATAATATCAACAATAGAGTGTTATTATAACACTAGCAGGACCCGCGGAAATCAGCGGGATTCTAGAGGGGGGCGGGGGTGTAAATAAGTATATAGAGACTGTCTAAATTAAAACCACCAAGAACTTTATTCGCCATTTAGGCCATTACAAAAAATATACATGTTTAGCGTCCCGCCCGTTTCCTTTTTAGGGGCCGCCTCCTATTTTTTAATTTTTTTAATTTTTTAATTTTTTTTTAAAATTTTCTTTTTTTTTTAAAGAAAAAAAACACGAAAAACACAGCTAAAATGGATGTATTTCTGATTTAAAAAAAAAAAAAATTGTCGGCCGCCATCTTGAAAAATAGCCCGAATGTCAGGGAAAATGTACGGAGCGACCATTTTAAGCGGCCATTTTGAAAAAAAAAGAAAAAAAAAAAGGGCCTCCTTCCTATTTTTCAAAAAAACAGGATGCTAAACATGTTTTTTTTTTATTTGGCCTTATATAAAAATTTAAAAAACAATCCAACTGTACCGGTAGTTATTCTATAAGCAACTGGAAATGCGTAGAGTTCCGTAGTGTGGCGTACCGACTACTAAGAAATTAGGCTGCGTATTAATGGGAAAATAGTCCCTGCGTAGGTTATGCGTAGGCTGGGGTACAGGTTTGCTTATGGTTGCTTACTGTGTGGAAAGCTTTTACTGCTTTGTTGATCTGGCGTAGGGTAGCGTACTGTTGGGTAGGCATGTAGCGTAGTGTTGCGTAAAAAGGCGTACTTTTTGCGTCAAGTTTCTACGCCGAAAGTACGCGAAAAAAATTAAACATGTTGAATTGTTTTCGTTCATCTTGCGTACCCCTTTCCGTCCCTCAGCATAAGTAACGTAGGCAAGCGTAGATGGTACGCAACACTACGCAACACTACGTATTGACCCCACGCCAATTAGTGACCTGCCAGTGTCACAAATAAAGTTTTAAAAATATGCTCATCTGACCCTAATTAAATGCCTAAAACCCCTGAGCTTTCGGGGGGTTATGGCCCCTTGAAACCCGTGGACCCCATGCCTATATTATATATACACTCAACTCGCTGCGATCTGATCTCTCCCCCCCCCCCCCCCCCACTTTGAAGAACGTTTCTTGGAGCCTGCATGTAACATGCAAGAATGGTACATGGAGATGCATATTTTCTTTCTGCAACCCCCCATCACCCCCCCCCCCCCCAAACGATTTTACTCATTACGTACCGGTAACTGTTTTGCAATGCATGAAGTCACGTACTTCTGTCTGGTTGAGTACAATTCATAACCTTATTTAAAATTAATGCTTTCTTGTAATTTACTGTAGATATAAGACAATAATAGTCTCCGATGGCTGAGTAGACGTAGAGTCGTATAGTTTTGTAGCTGTATAGGTGGACAAAATTATGGCACTTCGGTCCGCACGCTGTTGTGTTGACGGGTTCTTCGATGGATGGATAGACGTATGTGTAGTTGTATAGTTGTACAAATATTGGCCTGCTTGGCCCCCCCCCATACTTTTCGACTCTACACTCAGTCAAAGTCCACGCTTGCGACTGAACTGTCAGTCCAATGATTTTCTTGTGAAAACTTTCCCTTAAGAAATAATGATTAAAATTCAGTAAACATGGCCGTAATAATCACAAAATAAGCTTTGATTTCATACCTCCATTCACGAAAACTATACACAAATCGCGGCAATCATGATGGAAATAGGTCTCTAAGTTTGGACGTGGACGGGAAGCCCGTGTATCTCTCTGACTTTGTGCTTGTGCAGCTACTACAAAGGATATCCTATAGAAAGATACTTTACTCGGGTAATCCCGACCCTGTGCATCGTGCATTTAATACGCAACTTAATGTGAGTGGATAGTCATCGGTCGTGTGTCTACGGATGTAATGTTGAATATCCATGAGGTATCTCTGTCGTCACGCATATCCTGCATTATGCATATCGCGTCTGTTTTCGCCCTGGACGTCGACACGGAGGAGGACCTCGGGCGGAGAATAGCCAATTCCACAGAGTAGACTCTCCCGCGGACGATGGCACCGGGCACGGGTACCCCGAGGGGAGGGTTCAGGAGGAGATAGCTGCACCAACTTCGGTCGGCGATCTCATTAAAAAACAATAGAATACAAAGGCTCGCGGAGACGTCGCGCCCCCCGCGGAGCCTTAGCGTATTATTATTATAGATGGAAAAGTATATATGTCAAACAAATCTGAAAAAAAAGAAATTCATGAAAAATTGTTTACTTTTTGCAAACTGTTTCTGATTGTTTATTTCTTCAAATTCATTTTGCCAAGTAAATCTGTGATATTTAAAAAAGTAAACTTTAATTTGTTACTGATATCTATAAATTTATTTTGTTATCATATTTTAAATGGCCAAGAATTTTCATTTTGAAATTCTGCATGTAAACATCAATTCTTGTATACATATGTGACAATATTTTTTAATAAAGGATTCCTGTGGAAGGGGGAGCACACACACACACAAAAAAAAAAAACTACAAACCAAAACAGAAGCAATTAAAAAAAAATTCAAGTTTGATTGTAGCCTATTTTTCATATACAGTACATGTTTGACCCTTTGATCTTGGACATCATGGCCCTAAAATTTAATCAATTCATTGGCTCTGCAAGATACATACATGTCTTGAGTTTGATGGTAATCCATATGTCTGTTTTAATGATAATACGTTCACAAGCTATTTTTGCATACATAATGAGCCGTGACCTTTGAACTTTTAACTCAAAACCTACTCAGTTCATTGGCTCTGCAAGATACATACATGACATAAGTTTGGCGGTAATCCATCCATTGGTTTCTGAGATAACACGATCACGAGAACGGGACGTACAAACGTATGTATGTACCAGGGGCGTAAACCCCGGGGGGGATGGGGGGGCTGCATCCCCCCCTGGCTCGAAGTAGGGGGGGATGGCCTGTACAATCATCCCCCCCTGATATTACAAAAAAAAGAGAGAAAAAAAGGAAGAAGAAGAAGAAGAAGAAGAAGAAGAAAAAAATGTGATTGTTTCAATTTTAGCATAATACATGAGAAATTAGTTATTTTTTTAATGTAAGTATAACTGTATAGCCTACACGGATATAGTATGTCACCATCATTAAGAGTAGTTGCGCGACGTGCGCGAACAAGCACTTCATAAACTTTAGAATAATTTTTCGTTATTTTGCAAGGTATTATTATAGCCCAGACGTAAAGTGCGCCAGCGCGCGAGCGCTTAAAAAGTGCAATCATGTACAGTAGATGCCCGGCTCCCCCCATTTAGTATTATTTAGGGTACGCGTACGCTCGTTCCCGCCCTTTGAAAGCACCCCCCACCCTATCTCAGGACTGCCAACATTTCTGAATCCCCCTTTCGCCGGCCTTTCGCTGGCTTTTCCTACCTTGAAGACCCCCCCCCCCCAAAATCCGGATCACGTACAGCTAAATGTACAACCCCCCCCCCCCCCTGAATTCAGATGAGGATTAAAAGTCAAGAACGGTACAACTAATCGTCTTCTTTCTCCAATGATTTTATGAAACATAAAAGCTTCCGTGCTTCGCGCAGGAGGGGGGAAGGGAAAAACTGAATTCAGATGAGGATTAAAAGTCGAGAACGGTACAACGAATCGTCTTCTTTCCCTAATGATTTAATGAAACGTAAAAGCTTCCGCGCTTCGCGCGGGAGGGGGGGGGGGGGGGGACTGAATTCAGACGAGGATTAAAAGTCGAGAACGATACAACAAATCGTCTTCTTTCTCCAATGATTTTATGAAACGTAAAAGCTTCCGCGCTTCGCGCAGGAGGGGGGAAGGGAAAAACTGAATTCAGATGAGGATTAAAAGTCGAGAACGGTACAACGAATCGTCTTCTTTTCCTAATGATTTAATGAAACGTAAAAGCTTAGGCGCTTCGCGCGGGAGGGGAGGCGGGAACTGAATTCAGACGAGGATTAAGAGTCGAGAACGGAACAACGAATCGTCTTCTTTCTCTAATGATTTTATGAAACGTAAAAGCTTCCGCGCTTCGCGCAGGAGGGGGGGGGGGGGAACTGAATCCAGACGAGGATTATTTTCGAGAACAGTACAACGAATCGTCTTCTTTCTCTAATATTGTTTGTTCGTTTGTGTGTGTGTGTGCGTTTGTGTGGGCTCTCGCCTCAGCATTCTTGTGGGGTTTTATGTGCGCTTCACATACCCCTTGTGAGGCATTTTTACTTTGTGGGGTATTTTTTCAGGACCCCACAGAGTAAAGTCTTTCAAATGACTGTATATTCGGTGTCCTATGCCCTGCGGGGCATTAGAAGTGGTACCCCATAAATGACTTTTTGTGAGCGTGTGCTAAAACTTGCACACTTTTTTATGGTAACATCGTAAGCACACCGCCGGGTTGTTATCGCCAGGTTGTACATACCCCACTAGTAGGGGACCACAAGGTATATCTGGAACGCACAGAAATACCCCACAATCAGGTGCCCCACAAAGGCCCTGATGTGAGAATGCGTGTGTGTGTATGTGTGTGTGTGTGCGGGTGTGTGTGTGTTTGTGTGTGCGCGATCGCGCGCGCTTGCGTAAATTAGTGTGGGCTCGTGCTAGTATGTGATGGCTATTGCCGATCATCCCCCCCACTCCTCAGTACGGATTTACGCCCCTGGTATGTACGGACGGAAGGACGGACAGACAACCCGGACAACCATAATGCCTCCGGCTACTTTGTAGCGGAGGCATAACAAAAAATTAATGTTTCATGGGAAATAAGGTGAAGATGGTACCTACTTGTGCAAATGAGATGCTATTTAAACAGCAAAGTAATTATTCAATATCTTTATCAAGCAGTAAAAAAATGTAGAAGTGGGAACATAAATTGTTGTAAATCTTATTTTATCAAATTATCTTTTAATACAGCTCTGTAATACCTTTCCAGATTTAAACTGCTCTCCCCTCCAAACTACCTCTATATATATATATATATATATATATATATATATGACCATGCAATAACGTTGACCCATGACCTACAAACCAAAAGCCAGCTGAATAACTCTTTTTGGGGGGCCAATCTGCATGAAGCATGCATTTAATTCTTGCTTTTTAATTTGTTAAGCTGTGTTTAATTCATTAGGCTGATGATTGCTTTCCCATTGTGATATTGCATAATAGCACCAAGTTTGAGGTTCAGAACTTGGTTAACCCTATGTAAACTGGGGGGGGGGGGTCAATTTGACCCCCCCCCCCGTAATAATTTTGCGACTACTCCGAAACCGCGGCAGATATAAAATTTTCCTTTCATGACTTCTTTCTTTCGGGTCTTACGCATCTTTTAAAACAATTTCTTAGAAAATCGGACGTATAGTTACAAAGTCACGTGACCTTTTGTCTTTGCATGTCAGCCCGAAAATATATATTATCTTACCTTATTTTATCTTACATTATTTTTTGATCTTGCTCCAATTTCTTTCGAGAGAAGTCCCTGCATCATATAAGATTTTGCGGAGGTGTGAATAACGAGGAGAAAATCTCAACTTACCTTGTGAGGATTTGTTTTCTACAGCCTTGGTTATGAGCTCCTTATTTGTTTGGAGTCTCTCTGCAGCAGCTCCTACTCTGGCTATCTTCTTTTTCTTCCTCAGTGGAAGATTCGAGGGTGATGGCTGGCTCCTTTTCTTTGATGCTGTGTTCTTAGGTCGGTCCTCAACTAAGCCACTTTCATTCCGGAGCTTCATTTGCACGATTATTAGGAGCAGGCCCAACTTGTCGTCCATCATGTTTAGTACATCATCTGAACTCAAGTAAGTTAAGGGCCAATTGCTTTTTCGCAGAGGGCAAATGGCCTCGTTTTGGAAGTTCCTCCAACATAGTGTCATCAGCTGGCTGGTCTAATTGATCGGGCTGATGGTCTCCCAAGTCTATACCTTAGTCGGCAGGCACCTCAAGAAAACCGCAAACTTCTGTGTCCAAGGTGTAGAGTGGAGAGTTGCGAAACTTCTCGGGTAGAGCAGACCAAGTTGTCCCTGGAAGTAGCTCCAACACGGCAAACATGTGTTTGCAAGGGAGATGAGTCCAACGCCAGTCCCAGCATTCACACTTGGGAATGCCATTCTCAGTCTGAAGATGAACATTGTATGAAGTTCTTGGCCATGTCGTCTCACTTTTCACCTGTATAAGATATTTTGTTGGTAAAATGTGAATACTATAAGGTACTTGATCTAGATATTCCTCTGTCTGTACCAGTTCCTCTAAATACCTATCAAAATTGATGCATATCTAATTGAATAGACAACTTATGGTCCAAATTTACAAAGACGGTTTATATTAACATAGGGTAGTGAAGTCCTTCATGGTTTGTTTTAAGCGTATATGTGCAGCGTATATATTTTATTTAAGCGTATGCATCAGTCATATGTGCTTATCGACCCAAACCACGTATACACATAGAAAATATAAATATTTGTAATTTCACATAATAAAATACAAAAGAAAAGGTGGGTTTATGACATCACCTGCCCACTCATTTGGACACAGCTTCGTTTCGCAGTTTTATGAAACAATGCAAACTTCAAAATGCTGTAAATTTCTATAATTCATCCAAATTTGATAACATTATCAATATTTTGATTGTTTAATTTTACTCTATTTATTAATTCAAATCAATTTGATCTCAGGGTGGACAATCCCTTTAAGTGGTCAACTGATTAGAATTAAAATGAGAAGTAATATGCTACCTGGAAGCAGTGCTCTGATTTTCTTATGACATCATCCTTTGTTAGCGTCCCTGCCATCTCAATTTTCCTCATGCAATGACGGATGAAATAGGATGGACGATTCTGCAGATAGGGTGGGATGGCATCATCATATGTCCTTCCCAGTGAGTCGATTGCTGTCAGATCTTCTCTGATATATCTGGGGAAGCAAACATATCGGATTTGAATTAATCATATTTCTACATAGGTTGGCAATTTACGATCGTTTTATAAATTAAGTATCTAAGATTCCTACCCGGTTTAGAGGAAATACTAGTAAATACTGGAAAATATCTAGTCTTCCAAATTACTGATGAAATTGCTTATTTTGGGAGTATTTTCTAGCCACCGGTATCTCTTTGATTGCATATACATGTACCTTTTCAAAGCACTTATAGTATCCCATAACATGAAAGAGATATTATTGCTCTAGGTGATTAATTGTTTTTTCCTCCATAGTATGGATGTTTGGCTCAACTTTGCTTGCAAGAAATATTCTTAGCAAGGTCAATATCTACTGAACATTACTTTATTTTAACACAGCCCTAAACCCACATCATATCCATGACCCCATCTTATAAAGAGTTACGATTGGTCCAAATCAATCGCAAGTCCTCCAACCAATCGCAAGTTTGCAGTCTTCTATCTCTTATTTACATAGTTGCTATTGAATCAATTGCAAATGTCCTATGTGAGTTAACTCCTGCTATTAACCATAACAAGTTGAAAAATACAGCAAAGAGGTTATCAATATTTTGCTTTGACATGGAAGTGTGAAAATATAATTCATTAATAACAATTAATGCTATATTACAACTACAGCTTATAATAATAATAATAATAGTGAACATTTATAATGCGCCATGTCTGTCAAAAATGACACTCCTGGCGCAGTTTTGTGGAAGTTGTATAATTGTGGGCAAGAATTCAAGAAAGAAAGTAAAATACACATAAGTTACAGTTTAACATACTTCAGGACATAATTTGCAATAATACAATAATACAATACAAAGCATATTACAGTAAATCAAGTTATATAAGGGTAGTACAATGTAAGACATTATACAGGCCTTATATTTCAATATTTTTAGGGCAAGGCCACTTTTCTGTAGGGCACATTCCTATATTGCAGAACAAATAGGAAGAATTGGAAAGGGCACAAAAAATCTCCAAGGCCAATGAGAGGGGCATTGAGGCCAATCAAAGGGGCATTCACGGCCATGGCCTTGGTGGCCTTGGATTAATTCAAGCCCTGGACATAATTAAACAAACTAATATGTTGAGAACAGAAACGTTTTTAACAAAGACTTGAACTGTGAGTAGGAGTTCTCATTACGGAGGTGAGGAGGGAGTGAGTTCCACAGTTCAGGGCCAGAACTTGAAAATGAACGCCTTCCCCAGGAGTGCCGTGAACGTGGGATGCAAAGAAGTTGGGTGTGAGCAGAGCGGAGTCGTCGTGGTGGTTCGTAGAGGTGAACTAGGTCTTGTATGTATGAGGGTGCAGTGCAGTGAAGTGCTTGACGAGAAGAATGACTTTGAAGATGATGCGTTGGCGGACAGGAAGCCAGTGCAGTGCCTGAATGATGGGTGAGATGTGAGTGGTGCCTTTAGTGAGCGTTACAAGTCTGGCCGCGGAGTTCTGGAGTTGTTGGAGGCATTGCAGCTGGTAGTCAGGAAGATGTATCAGAAGAGAATTGCAAAAGTCTGAGCGAGAAGAGATGAGGGAATAAACCATGGTTTCAGAAGCCTAAGTGTCAGGAATCTTCGGATGTGCGAAAGATTGCGGAGTTGGAATCTAATGGCTTTGCATGTGTGAGATACATGATGATTTAGAGTCAAGTTCGAGTCGATGACAACACCAAGGTTCCGGCATTTAGTTGTGGGGCTGATCTGGTCATCACAAACTGTAACAAAACTTTCCGGGATCTTGTTCAGCATGACCTTTGAGCCTAAAATCATAAACTATTAGCTTAATATGTAATACTATACCCAAGATCACTCAGACTGGATATCTGGAAAATGTGTGTTACCCCAAAATCTGATTGCAGTTGACATATTAAAATATTAAAACGTCTTTTTCATTAATTTGTAAAAGTCATTCCGAATTCTAGTTTCAGTTAATTATTTACATCAATAAGTTTCACATTTTGTATTTATGTTGTAGGACCCAGCGAGTGTTCATCAGTAACCAGTGATCATGGAGTCACCCTATATACTAAAACAAGACTAATATCAGTAAATTAATAAATAAACAGTAATAAATGTTAACTACCTGTCTATAAAGACATTGAGACCACTAAATGTGGCCACTGTATAAAGACGGGTTAAATACCACACATTTCTTGGGAGACAAAATGCATGGCCACTATAGACATGTGGCATTTATAGAAAGGTGGCCACTAAGACAGGTTTTACTGTATTTAGACATATTGATCCATATTCTGAACTCCAGTTTAATGTAAACTGTGGTCTAAATCCGTGGTTTAACAATGGGTAGCCAAAAGTGATACAAAACTGTAACAGTACGTAGATGTTCAAATTTTCAGCACATTTGGCACTCAAACTATTAAAAACTGTATTGGAATGATAACTACAATAGTTTTATTCATCATTAAAGCATGAGAAAAGAGCCCAGCAAATGTAAGAAACATACATTTTTGACATTTTTGGCTTCCCATAATCTTAGTACATACTTAACTAATTAATTAAGTTAAACCAGAGTTCAGAATACGGGCCAATAAGATCGTACTTTCGAGAGTTTAACCCATTCACAATAGGGAGGGCAAAAGATTTACAATGTAGTTGTTTTGAAGCCAATTAGATCTTTAGCATGATTTCCACTGCTCCATATGCTCTGCTCCCCTCCAGCTTCATTTCCTTATCAACACCCCTAAAAAGTAGCAGTCACTTTAGGTCTAAGATTTTCAAATTTATTTTATATTCTCTCTTAGTTTTTTTCTGTTTGTATACCTTACCTGCACATGCTGTTAGGCAGGTATTCCAAAATGAGAATAGAAATCATTCCAGAAATACTGGTGTAGTTCTTCTTTTCCAAGAAGGAATATTTGAATATCCCATTCTGCCTCTCCAGTCCGTTGTTGGTGTTGACCTGAACTCCTTTGTTGCAACGGTTGCCCCATACCCAGCGCTGAAATATAAAACGGATGTATAATCAATTTGTTGTCTTTGTTCAAGAAATAAATATATTATTGATGATTTTACTTTCATGTATCCAATGGGACAAAATAATTTCATGCATTCTTTACAACCCACTGTGATTTTAGGCCTGTGAACTACTTGTGAAATTACAGTAAGATCGTCTTCCTATATATATGATGATACATACTAGCACCGATTTGCAGTTTTTACCTCAGACATGGTTCTCAATATATCTTGTGAACAAAAAGAATGATGGACGGACAAGCTCAAAACATTATTTCTTCAGTACAATCTTAAGTTGGTGGAGGCATTAAAATAGATATTACATGTATTGGTTTGAGTAATGTGATTAAAAACGTAATACTTAAGTAATATTGACTGCCTTCTGGGCAATACGACATATATCGCTCGAACCGAAGGTGAGGGTGATGTATGAAAAGTCGTATTGCCCTGAATTAGGCAGTCAATATTACTATTATTAACCACATCAGACATCTAGAGCAAACAAGAAACTCTTACTATCTTATACTCTTAAATTATGTAGGCTACACAGGGTTTCCTAGCATTAGAAGTTGCAAAAACATTGTCAAACCAGCATTGTTCATTCAGTGTTTGACAGATTTTCGATACACTGCAAACAGTTTGCCTAGGGTGTGATTGTTACGTCACAATAGAGTTTGCGCAAAGTGGTCATTTTCTTATACACGATGCGCGATGTAAATTACAGTAGCTGATGCGCGATGTAAATTACAACTGGCTCTATAATATTGCTCATTAGTTTAACACGCATTTTGCCATTGACTTTTCAGAGCGGGCTAAAATATTTTTTCATTGGTTTACTGTATAACCATATTGACCGGCAAATTACACACAAATCCCATTGACTTTTCTGAGCGGGCTAAAATATTTGTTCATTGGTTTACTGTATAACCATATTGACCGGCAAATTACACACAAAATCCCATTGACTTTTCTGAGCGGGCTAAAATATTGTAATTTTGTTGGCTTATCCATCAAACCTTGAGGGCAATAACATTCAAAAATTGCCCTGCTCAGATGTCTGATACAGTTAATAATGGAACTTATCACATTCCACAATATTCCAGTTTGAAACTGGGCACCACCAGTTTTTAAAAGATAGAATGAAACTGTGTGGCAAAAGTCTCATAGAAGGACAGACACTGCTTCTTTCTTAAGCTACAGTCCCATATACGTCCTGGACCGTCCCAGACCATCCCGGACCCCATCCGGGGTGATCCGGGATTCGGTCCGTGTTGACAACGTGTTGGCACCGGGGTGGTCCTGGATGGTCCTGGATGGTCCTGGATGGTCCTGGGCGGTCCAGGAGTCGACCCCGGATGTTTTTGACGGTCAAAAACTGCCGGGGTGGTCCGGGACGGTCCGGGACAATAGTTTGATCCGGGGTGATCCGTGTAGCCACCGTGCAGGGTCCGGGGTCATCCGTAGTGGGGCCGGGGCGGTCCGTGTTGATCCGTGGCAGTCCGGGAGTGAGTTATTGACCCCGGATCACCCCGGCGCCCCTACGGATGATCCCGGACCCAGCACGGTGGCGACACGGATCACCCTGGATGATCCGGGGCTCTGCCGGGGCGATCCGTGTTGGCACCGGGGCGTTCCGGGATGATCCGTGTTGGCACCGGGATGGTCCGGTGTCATCCGTGTTGGCACCGTGTTGGCACCGGGGTGGTCCGGGACGGTCCGTGGCGGCTCCGTGCTGGGTCTGGAATGATCTGTACTGCTGCCGGGGCTATGCCCGGACGGTCCGGGGCGGTCCGTAGTGGTACCGTGTTGGGTCCGGGGAGAGGGTCGGCGGTTGCGATTTTTTGAACAAAACATCCCGGACCATCCCGGATCACCCCAGACCATGGTCCAGGATTGGTCCGGAGTGGTCCGTGCTCGTCCGTGCTGGTCCGGCTTTATATGGGACTGGGGCTTTACCTTAGAATGTGGAATCCACTGTTTGGTGAACCACTTCTGTAGTTTTGGGTTTTCCTGCCATTCTTTAGAAGCCTTGAGGTATTCCAATGCAGCATTGTACTCTGATGGCTCAGTGGCATGGGCACATCTTCTCAGCATGGAGAGCACTTTCTACTTGCACGAAGCAACACCATTTTCTATCTTCCGGACCCATCGTGTCCATGCTTGTTCTCTGTGAAAATCACAGAGAAAGACAGTGCATGCTGCAAAAAAATAATAAACAAAACAAAAGTACATCGTTATAATTGAGTTAGCGAGCTCACAAAAATCTGAAAGAAAGAAATAAGAAGAAGAAAAAGATTCTGACAAAAACAAGAGGTGATCTGCGATAGTAAAATAAAACAAAAGTACATCATCTACATATGTCTTGAATACAAACAAATCTTATTATGATTCAATATGGTTTTAATAAATTATGTACTGTCAATAACCATTTTTTGTATTTTATGACCATGCAAAGAGATTTCTAAATGCATCAACACATATATAGGGCCAGTACAATGTTATTGCTGAAGAAAACCCTGATAGACAATGCATTTAAAATTGATGGCATATCTTATCACTCTACAGATTTAAAGATTTTAATCATTCAGTATAATTACATTTCAATTGATCCTTAAATTGAACATGTATTTTCAAAGACTGCAACATATATTGTGAAGAAACGTACAATACTTTTATCATTGCTATTACCTGGAAAGATCTGTTCGATGGCATTGATTTCACGTTCTGAAAAATCTGTCATAAAAAATTACGGATTCCATGCAATGCCTTCCTCAGACATCCATTTCTGGATGGTACACAATCCCTGCTTGATTGCTGCAGTGGTCTCAAATTGTACGACAAACTCCCCAACTACGCTATAACCGTAGTTGGTTTTCACCGCCAAAAAGAACAAGGGTAGTGCGTACTTCGTGGTGCGATACGTTGCATCCAAAAGGCACAAGGTGTTTCCATACTTATGATGAAGAAAAAACACAAAGAAAATATCACAAAAGCAATGTTGAATGTGTTGACAAGATATTTCCAAGCACTTTCCTTACAATGTAAAAAAAAAAAATAAGAAATGTTACCAGCATTGCATGCAGGATCTTAACAGGCAAATATAGACTCAATGCAAACATTTTTTAGTTGCATTAACCATGAAATTCCATTTTTTGCCACTCCTTTCAATGAAGCTTTTTTAAAAGAAAGAACATATGTACCATCCCCCCCCCCCCCCAAAAAAAAGGAAGATTCAAGAAAACAAATATTTTGGAATCAAGATTAATATCCAAAATGAGACCATCTCTAGAAAGCTTTTTTTAAATTTAGATTTAAAGGTAATACAAAGTTTTGGTATGGGGTCATGAATTTGGTTCAAATGAACATGCTTGAAGCATAAGCGATCCTACAATATTCAGTAATTGTTGTCGCGGTTGAAATTGAGTCTAAAGTTATGGAATTGTAATATAGCTCGCTCTCAAGGTTAATATATTAATTAAGCTATAAAACAATGTTTCTTAAATAAAATCGACCGATGAGCTATTCCCATTCAAAAATTATATGTAAAAACTACATATTCTGAGATTTTCATGTTCGCAGCTACCATTATACGACCCTAGGCGCTATTAAAAAATTTATCAAAATTTACCGGGAGCACCGGTAAATCTTTATATTAAATTTTTCTCGAAAGCTAAAGTGTTTTATGGGCTAAAATTTCTGGTGTTTTGCATACATTCACAGGGGCATCCAAATATATTGGAATTGTAAAGAATCACTATCCACCCATTTTTCAAAATTTCCCAAAACTTTGTAATACCTTTAAGGTTTGGTGTTAGTGTTTAATAAACACTAGCACCATGCCTAAACACCGAAATGGAAATCAGCTTGTTTTAAGGCTTTGACCTCTGAATATCATCAACTTCCGGTAGCTTATAAATAGTGTTATTGATTTTGTAAAATTGCCGTCTGCTGAACCGACCTTTGCTACAAATGTCCTATTCACTAACACTAGCCCCTAGGGATTAAGTAAATGTTGCTTTCCGGTTCGGTGTTAGTGTTAGGCTATCGATATTGATATCAGTATCATGCTCTTAATTTCATTAACAAATTTTTAGCCTGATTTAATTAAGAGCTCTTGACTGCTCTAAACACTAACACTAACACCCAACTTGAAATCATACACTCATTAAACTTTATTGTTTGTCTGATTTAAGCCACAGACAAGCTACTATATAAGCACTAAATTTGCAAGCAAAATATAAAAATAAAGTTCACACATGCTAGATAATCTGTAATCTTAGATTAGAGTCACTAAAAAGCAAGCAATTGCATGTAGATTTTTGCAAGCTATTTCTAACCAACAATGTAGTAATTGTATTATCTGCTAATTCTAAAGGCAAGCTGTATAAACTTTTACACAGTTCAGGTAGACAAGAAGAGCATGCTTTTATAGAACTTAGCACTGTGCAGAAGAAAAGGTTGTTCAGCAGAAAATTTCATCAAAAGTAGAGCTGTAAACTTCCCAAATTCATATCATTCATAATCCCAAGCAGGCGCGTACGCAGGGGGGGTGTTTGGGGGGTTAAACCCCCCCCCCCTTTGGTATTTTTATGTGTGTAAACCCCCCTAAAAAATCCCTAAAACCCCCCACCCCCCCTTTGGATTTTTTTTTTTTTTTTAATTATTTAAAAAAAAAAAAAAAAAAAAAAAAATTACCCCCATGGCTGACCTAAAAAAGGTGACCTTACCCCCCCCCCCCAACGGAGCAAAATGTCAAAGTTTCAAATTTTGAGACCAAAAAAAAAAAAAAGGTGTCCTCTTACCCCCCCCCCCCCCCCCCACTGAGCGACTTTTCTGTTGGCTGAGTTGTTGCGATTTTTTTTTGGACTACCAAAATAAAAATAAAAAAGTGTCCGCTTACCCCCCCCCCCCCACTGAGCGACTTTTCGGCCGGCGCGATTTTCAAATTTTCGGGAGCAAAATTTTTGGGTCAGATTTTAAAACCCCCCCCTTCAAAAAATCCTGCGTACGCCCCTGATCCCAAGTAAAGCTGGGATGATTTCTCCAAGGGGATGTGTCATTGTGAAATCTTCAGTCTTAATTTCAGATTTCAGAACACTAAATTTTCAATGCTACAATCATTATTTTTTCATTTAATTTATTAACTGTTAAAACATCAGGAACGCCAAAATTACACATGAAATATCAATCCCTTTGTCAACAGTTCTTTTACTGGAAAAAATTTTATAGAAAAATTGCAATATACAATTTGTATGATCCACTTTCTTTATTTAAAGGGGCCTTGTAAAGGTGGTTATATAAAGTTTATACAAATGACAAAGAGTGTTTACTAAATGATTGTGATTATAACTACTTAAAAGCAAACGGTTGTTTTTACCTCTGTCAGTCCATAAACAGTGAAATGTTGACAGAAGAATTATATAAAAGATCGAGTCCACAAGAATTAAAATCTAAACCACCAAAAAACAGATACCCCAAAACCAGAAAAGGATGCAGAGCTAGAGGCATAAATAATCAGAAAAGCAAAAGCATACCAGGGCATTAATTTCCAGCATTAAGAACATTATTGTTCACAGACTGATTTGTCATTTAATAAACTCTTTTGATATGACTCTTCCGAAAGACTTTCCAGGGTAGAACAAAGTTATTCCATGATTTTTATTTTTACACTCTCAAGCAACATTTTTCATGCCATCGATTGCCCACCTCTAAAATGACATGTTAAGATAAGGGATTATTATTCAAGTAAGCAAAGTTCAGAAGACCTGATGCAGAAGAATGAGACCATATAGAGCACGGCAAAACTTGATTAAAGCTGAAGGCATGAAACTTCAAAACTTACACTTTGTCACCACAATGCTATATCCTTGTTGGCTGTGCTAGTAATATTGATTTGAGGGTATAAATTTTGATTAAAATTCAGTTACATAAGAATTATTTTTTATATTGATGAATGAAAAGTTTACCAGCATTTCTGCAAAACATTCAAGCATCTATATACAGATAGATGGTAGTTGAAAATTTAAATAATTATATTAAATTCATGAATACCACTCTATACAAGATGTATTAATTATTAAGGTATATATTCATCTTAACTCAATACAAATCCCACAGATGCAATCTTAATATGGCAAAAAGGTAATATGAAGAAAAACTAGATGGATTCTCGACTGCGTACAGTAGAAAATTATGCCCCTGCCATTGCCAGATCAGAAATATATTACGGTACACATTTAACTTCTGAAATTTTCAAAACCTTTCATAATATTACTGTTTTATTTGCAGTTTCCCAAATTCACTTCCATTGATTAACTTTGTATAATTCTGGTATATTTGTAGACATGTTTCCATTTTGTGTGTGTTCTCTGTTTTCTATATTGTATATAATCTTTTTTTTATGTGTTTTTTGTGGATATTAACAAATATTCTTTGCTTGTTCATCTCATTCTACATAAAGAAAAGTGGTTTTACAAAGATTTACATGCATTCTACATTAATAAGTGAACAAAATCCTGTCATCTACATGATGGTATAAACACACATACAGCTATCATTAAATGACTACATGATTTTGACTAGTACACCTTGTGCATGAACAGAATAAATACAAGTCAGCAAACATCACAATATCTATAAATGTGTCTTTCAATTCCATGCACATGGTTGTGTACATATGTGTAGTTACAGAAATATGCACAGTACATTAAACTGCATTCATGAAAGCATCCATGTTTAATTTAAAACTAAAATAGTAGTTAGTTGATGGAAAGCCACATGTTAATCTCTGCATCCCATAAACTAATCTTAATTCTGTAACTACAAGAAGAAACAATTGAGAAATTGATTTATCATTTTCATTTCATGACTGGATTCATTTGTTTTCCTCATTGTGTTTAATACAGAAACAAAAAATGTGTATGAAATAAAGAGCATAACACATAGCACTACATAATCAGTGGACTATGTTAAACCAGGTTTATTAAACTTAGTACATCTTTAAAAGACTATAAGCCATTGAATAAGCCATCCTCTGGAACAAGTTGCCAAGTGACCTTCAAAAAAAATTCCATGCTTAGAAACCTTCAGAAACATGCTAAAAAGCTTTTATTTTATACTCAGAGTTACTAATGCTTTTATGTTGTTAAATTCTTGAGAAAGATAAGTGTATTTTGTTTAGTATAGCGTCTTGAGTAAGATATTAGACAAGTGTGCTTCATAAGCATTTACTGTTATTATTATTATATTTTACAGCTTCAATATGAGAACCTCTTCATATTCTTTCAGTCAATTTGAAATAAACTGAGTCAGGAGTAAATACACTTGTACATTATCCTCTCTAAACGTCCCGCTTTACTGCCCTGAGCAAATGTTGCAGGAGCAAATGTCGGATCACAAGGCTATATAGGTACATGTATCTTGTTGAATAGCAGTAAGTGTTATTTTTTTTAATTCAAAGAAATGAAGCAGTTTCACATTAACACAATCATGCAACTGATACTATAACACCTCATCAAAAGTAAAAGTAAGCCTTGGAATATAAGCTTAAGATCATGGAATAGTAAATATGATTCTTCGTACTTTTCTCTATATACATGTACAGTGTATGCTCTTGAATTGGAACACTTTTCCTATTCTACTTAATAGTCTCCTTCAATTTGTTCCCCCTTTTTTACAATTCTTTTTCTTCTTTCCCTGGCCCCATTTCAAATTTTTCTCCCTTTTATTTTCCTCCACTTACAAACTTTCTCTTCTTTCTAGATTTTCTCTTCATATCTGATAAGCAACAATCTGTACTGCTCTTCTGTGTAATCTACTGTGTTTCTAACCTTCAGACATTTCCCAAAATCAATAATATCTTTACTCTCAACTCTCTACAAATGCATGATACAGTGTACACAGGCAACATAACATGCAGAAAAGACATGGATGTAAGACTGGATTTCAAACCTTGAACAGTGGTAATGTCAATGGTAGAAGAGACATTGGAGACGCAAGTGAGTCCTAGTCAACGATGGGCCAGCAGTGGCAAGTAAAACAATGTCATGAAGCCATTTTATTTATTACTCTCTAGTCTCTCAATAAAATCTTTAAACCGTTTCTCAGAGCGAGATATACATGATATTTACCATGCTAACATATAATCCCTCTTTTTTCAACATACAGGTACAGGTATATTTTGAATAATGACAGCTACATTTATAAATACTAAAATACCTGTACATAGATGCATAAATTCACCCTTTTAGTGATGTAGGTTATCATTTTATAGAGGATGCTAAATATATTCATATGTAGAATCCATATGTAGATATTTAGCTGCACCAATTTGCATGAAAGACGTAGGAAAAAGACTTATCACTAAAAAATGAAGAGTTCTCTGAGTATCTTGACTTAAAATAAGAAAAAAGAGAGAACATGAAAAGACAATTTTATTTGATAAACATACATGTAGCAACAAAACAGATATATCAATTTATCAAACCTCTATCTTATACCATTACATGTCAAAACAAGTATATGACTAGGAAACAAACTATGATGGGGAAAAAGAGTAAGAGGGGGGAAAAGAGTAAGAGATGGAAAGTGTACCTGTGACTCAAAGAAGGAGAGCTTGCGAAGTGATTCAGATTCTTCATCCTTTACAGTGTAGCAGGAATACATAAATAGAATCAGTATATTATATCAAGTCTGTTTTTCACAAATTAGAGTGAATTTGTACTTACATTTCAAAACCAAGGGTTAAATGTATACCCAAGTCACACCACTAAATCGACCCAAAACTTGCTTTTAATCCACAGAATCTTGTTGATTGTGTGGGTAATTTTTTCTTCTCCTGTCTACTGTCTGCCTGGTGTTTCTCCCCTCGATGTGACTGGGGTATTACTATTCAGTGATGTAAAGCGCTGGTCAGATTTTTTATTAAAATGTGAATCATGTACGGCAGTAATTCTTTGTTTTATTTCTACAAAATGTAGCATGTAAAAATGAGAGAGTGGACACATATACCCTGCCCCCTCTCTCAAAAAAATATTAACAAATGAACCCCTATTAAAGTCCAGAAATTGCCAATTTGAATCTCTTCTTGCCCATCTCATGTCAAAGGGAATCCTGTGTATTTTGCACTTACAATACAAATGTACTTCAAAACAACATGGTTCAATGCCTGGAATTCTTCAAAAACATTAAAAAAAATAATGCAATCTTTATCTTTCAATAAAAATGTTCACATACATAAATATCTTTAAAGCACATAGAAAGATTCTTATTCAGTGCTATATTATTACTATCCATGTATAAGTCTCACCTTTAGAGGAATGCCTTCGTCTTTCCTATCGTTGTACATGTCACGCATATCAATGATCTTATTCTCGAGCTTCTCCACAGACCAGATCTGTGTCCCTCTGTCCTTACGGTTCACCTGAATGGCCAGCTCACTCACTATGGCTCCTCTCTGACCAATCAAATCAAAGGTTAGAAAGATATAAGTCATCTATTCATCGTAATGGGAATGCTTGTTTAAAAACTAATTCCATTTTATTTACATTTTACAATACATATTCATCACTTATGTATCTACTAAATATACTGTCATTTATCATGCTAAGCCTTGCACTGCTTTCAGTAACATCCATCCAACATAATAATAGAAGTGTTAAAAATGAGAATTTTGATAGACCAATTTTACAATTTCTGGAGGATTTTCTGGAGGTTATCTTTGTTGGAACTACCTCATTAATTTTATGCTGGTCTAAAATCATCACAAACTAATCTGCTGCACTGCATCTTCTTGTTGCACAGATTCATGTAGATTTGCATTCAATAAAGCCACATGTATAGGGCATACATTTTTGGAACAAAAAATAATATCAGGGCCAAAGGAATAAAATTGATGCTCCTATGCCTTTTCTACGTTTATGATTATTCAGTGGGTTGATGACACATTGTGCAAAACTTTTTTTTGTCCTATTCTTTTATTAGTACAGATTTTTCCGTGCTTTCTTGAGTGATCTCAGCCAAAAGACATTTCCGTCCAAATTGCATAAACTGCAAAAACAATTACTTTCTATAGCATCATGAATGAAGGAGTAGAAGCAAGTGATAGGAGAGCTACCTTTCTATTTGGAGTAAGGTTACAGACAGGTATCTGTAGTGTGACTCTGAACTCTGTCTGTTTGCCCATTTCCTCCCCCAGGAAGTTGGCCTCTCTGATCAGGGCGTTTGCCTTGACAACGTCTTCTCTCAGCTTGGCAAGACTCTGTCTGAACATATCATCCCTAGGGAGAAAAAGCCATTTAGAGTTCATCAACTGACTTAGCAACGACAAGTACTTATAAAGTGTATTTAATAATAAATAAAAAATTACAAAATTGTTGACACACACACATGCATACTAATAGAAGAGTCACTAGCTCAGTAGGCAACAACTATTAGGCAATTCAGGGGTGATAGTGAGCACTAAAAACAAAAACAATTTTTTTTCCCCCCCCCCTCTACCACGCCCCCCTTGAGTAAAAAAAAAAAAAAGAAGAGAATTTGTGGAAAAAATGGCATCGAACATCATTCCCCCTTTTTGAGTAAAAAATTGGGAAAAAATAGGGAAAAATAGAAGAAAAAAAAAAAAAATAATAATAAATTACATTTATATAGCGCTTAATACAAAGTTTCTACGCGCTTAACAAAAAATTAAATTAAAGTAATGTTAACCTAACAAATTACAAGAATATAATACATGATACATAATTATAATAACAAATTCCTAATAACAATCATACAATAATAATAGTTAATATTTACATAACACTTTATAGTTAAACAAACAAAATATGATTACATTACATTACATATTAAACAGATAAGTCTCAAGTTTAAGGGAATAATCAGGAAAATTTGGGAAGAAAAAAAAAATCAGTTAGAAAATCAACAACAAAAATCAGGTAATTATCAGGCCTGGCAATTGAATGCTGGTGCAAAGCAAATTTCCACAATTGGGGGCAATGAATGAAGTTGTCAAGTTATCATACCAAGTTTAATACTTATTCATATTAGAAATACATACCAAATGAAGGGGGAAGTCTTTCAAACATTTAAGAAAATTTAAAAAAAACCATTTATTTTTGCATGAACATGCTAATTATCCATCTTATGCGAGTACATCTTTTATCAACTACACAAATATTTCATCACCTAAGATCTATCTTCACTGACCTGTCTTCGCTCCATTCCTCATAAGGCTCCACCCCTAGCGACGACCCTATCCCTAACGATGACCCATCACCGCTCTGGCTCTGGGTACCTTCATCTTCTATCCTCCTATCCTCCTGTCTGCTGTTGGGTTGGTGGTGACCTGAGGAGTTCTTGGGAACCAGCTGTTGCTTCAGTGCGGCCAGCTCCTGCTCGTAAGCCTCCCGCTGCTTGAAAAGGGCGCCATCTTTGTCCTTCTGGTGCTGGACTTCTATGAGCTTCATGGCAGCTTGTACAGGGTCTAGTGAAAGAGGAGATGTATATGATTACTACAATTACAGAAGTTATTCAAACCCAATATGTCCATCTAGGCCAAAACTGTTTGATTTTTATCCATTTAAGAGAAAGCTCTACAAAAAAAAATCTGCATTTCTAGGCAAAGATTGAAAAATGGAAAATAATGTAGATTGACTACTAGTACTTACCATCAAAATATACATGCTAGTCATTTTCTGTCAAATATCAATCAAGTTGATTTACAGAAGTCAACTTCTACCTGATTACACTACATTGTATATGTAATGAATTTCATACAGCCCAATATAACACAATTAATCAATGGTTAAATATGTACAAAGGTAAAATGTATGGCTTATCCTTTCATCAAATCATAGTTCAATAGAAATAATCCATACAATTTTGAATGAGAGTATTTTATTTTGCAATTGTACACTAGCAGTTTGCACTTAACAGGTACATAAATTTACTATTTTGACTTCTGTTTTATTGTGATGTTTACCATTGTGTAGTTCTTGCATCATGACTTCATTCTGTGCATAATCAAAGTCAAAGCTTTCTGTCACTGGCTGGGCCACAGGCTCAGGGGTTGTTGTTCCACTTGATCCTAGAAGAAAGAAAAAAGAAATAAAAATACAAAATAATCATGAACATTTAAAACCATCAATTGATTCGGGTGGCCCTGCTCTGGCTTATTTAGCTCTCGTCATCTATCTAACAATTTGTTCATCCTTCAATTAGTCATCACTCCATCAATCACCCATCAATAAATCCATTATAATCGACCCATTCCCTACATCCATTTACTCTCCAATACTTTATTCATTCCTCACCATATCTCCATCCATCTCTTCCTCTTTCTATCAATCCATCCATCCATCCATCCATCCATCTTTCCATCTATCTATTCATACATTCATAACCTATTCATTGCTCCCACCCTCTCTCCATCGAATCATTCATCCACACATCTGTTCTTCCCTTCATCATCCCCTCTAACCGCCATCCATCTTACCATCCATCCATTTACCTCTTTATCCATCCATCCATCCATCCATCCATATATATATATTCATCTATCCATCTAATGCACACACCATCACACATATACCATCATTTCTTACCAACTCCAGGAGCTCTTGGACAGTTTATCCTTAAGAAATGATAGTTGCCTAGAAGTATCCTGTCTCCATGCCTCAACGATGTCTTACTTGTCACAGCACTTCCATTGACATCTACCCTAACAAAAACAATAGAAAAAAACAACAACATTACAATCTCCCTCTCTGCCTTTCATCATTCAGTGGTAGCCTCATATTTTTCATGTAAAACACATAGATCCCATGAATAAATTTGTTTTCATTATTCATATTGTCCATTCTAAACCTTGCTAGCTTGAAGAGTGAAACTGTAAAAGGGAATTTAAGAGAGATTTCAAATTCATCAGATTAAATGGCTCTTAAATCATTTGAATATAACAGAAGATGTCAAAGCAATTGTTTAATTTGAAATGAAAAATTAATGTGATTGCAACTTCGATATGCCTCTTACTACATTCACCTAACTCTTGATCACTTTCTGTCATTACTCACAAAAGACATTACATGAAATTTGAGCAATGAAACTCTCCTCTTAACATTATGAATCAACTTGTTCAAAAATTGGATTGATCGATTGAAACATGACCTCTAAAAACCATGAACTACTTTTGTGAAGCCCCTAACACAGAGGTCATGACTTGAGGAGTATGTAACAAACACCCCTTCCTGTAACAAACACCCCTTCCTGTAATGAACTACACCCATCCCAATCCCACATTCCAAATCAATAAGATTGTAGATTACACCTCTACACCTGTCATTCATATTGTGAATTTCACTCCTATATTTTTAATTAAAATTCCAATGTACAGATTGCTTGTTAATATCCATCAATCATTGTACATTACAAGATTGAATTTCTCCCATATCACTATCAATCATTTTACAGTCTTTTTTTTTCCTTCTACAGTGTTATTTGAAACTGCAACACAAATCGGTGTAAAATGGATATATTTTGTTTTCTCTTGTAATTTTCATTGCTGTATACCAACTATATAAACCATGATCTGATTTCAAAATTCATCAAATGTGTTAAAAACATATACAGTTTTCTAAAATTGAATAATTGAAAAGATGTTTATTTGTTTGATATTTGTGAATGAAAAAAAAATATATATATATATATTTAAGTTACCGTAATAGCAAAAAGTTGGATAAACTGAAGAAAAATCTGATGCACTAAATGCAAATCTTTGACTCCTTGAATAAAATAATAATACACTATCAAACATTAAAATAGATTACATATAACAAGACTGCTGTTCAAGACAGCCTTTTAAGATGGCAGAAAATCTTTGAAACTAATCAATCTTACTTTGCATTTTCACATGGTGAGATGTAGACATCTATGTCATTCTCTACATGTACATCAATGGTACAATGTCTAGGCATGATACCAAGCCCATTTAGCTGGATATCTGTTTGTGTCTCCTCATCAGCCCTCCCAGCTACATTGTGATCCTACGTAAAGACAAAGAAAAGTCAGAAAGAAAGAAAAGAAAAGAAAAAAAAAAAAAAAAAAAAAAAAAAAGAAAAAAAAGAAAAAAAAAAATCAAGTTTTTCGCAATGATTGCCACTCACTTGTAACAGCCACAAAGTACATTATGATCCTCAACTGTAAATACAACAGAAAAATTAAAAATTGTGAACTCTTTAGAAAATGCCCACTATAATCCAAAATATGACAAAGAAAATTGAAAATCTATAACACTCTTAAAAGTCCAAGCATGTTTGGGCCATTGTCTGATCGCATTTTGTAATATTGAACAGCAGCGTAAAACTCCACACATACAGAACGAAATAATTTATTGAGATTAGTCCAGTTCCTTTAAGATTATTCTGATTATATCATGGATGGATAAAGCGTGAAGATCTGCAGTTCTTACCTTGAGGTATTAGACAAACAGTTCATTGAGTGAAGGGTCAGCGTTTAGATTGACCAGGAAACCTTTATTCCTCTCTACTTTAATCCTAGAAGTCTTGACTGCTACAGCCATTTACTAACATGTCACTTTATCATCATTTAAAATGTACTTTTTAATGATCGTTCCCTTTAAGATCTAAATGAGAACCTTGGCTTACCTTGAGGTAGTAGACAAGCAGTTCATTGAGTGAAGGGTCAGCATTGAGATTGACCAGGAAACATTTATTCCTCTCTTCTTTGATCCCTGATGTCTGCACCGAGATACCCATCTGTTCTAGTGCTGCTTGCCTCTCCTAAAATCAAACATATATTTACATATTAGCACCTGAAAATAGACCAGTTCACGGTTAGCACATGTCTCAAATGACCACAATTTATCCACAGATCTTCAAAACATGAAGAGGTCCCACTTTGTACATTTTGAAATGATCACTACTACAACGATGGAGGTGCTACATAAATAGCCTTTGTTTCCCCTTTTCAAAGAATACATTGTACTTCCACCTGTGTATCATTTGGTCTGCGATGACCTTTATCTAATCATGTTCAGACTGCAACTATGAACTGACTTATTGTCATGACATGTATATGCACTGTACATGTATCTATGGTAAATTGCCAAGATTTCTGAATGGTTTCAGGCAGACTAAAATAACTCTCCATGGGGTAATACATTGTTTTCAGTCAGAATCAAATACATTTTTGCACATCAACACTTGAAAATTTCATTACATGAATTGTAGCCATTTAGTGACAGTACCAAATGGAAAATTGCCAAGATTTTTTAAGCATTTCTGACACATAGAAATGATTGTCTATAACAATACACTGTTTTCAATCAGAATCAAAGTGCTTAACTAAGATATAAATGCAATGAAGATCAAAAGTGTTACTTTTCAAAGAAATCAGGGCTCCATCTCACAAAAATTGTCATCAGTGACCAATGACAGTTTTTGTTACAAGCTAGTGAAATCCTTGCTTCTGATTGGTTATCAATAGATTTGTCACTGATTTTTGCATTTGTCATTGAAAAGAGGCTTTGTGAAACGGGCCCCAGATCTTCCCCAAAGAGGAAAGTTATCAAATGTTCTCCGAAAGTAACCTGAATGCATATTGATATCAAGTCAGCTGTGTAATACTGAATGGCTTGATGTCCGAAGACTCGTACTTCTCTTCTTTTAAATTTTTTTTTTTTTTTTTTTTTTTTTTTTGGGGGGGGGGGGGGGCTGCAATTGAGATTTGTACACGCATTCATTTGGAATTCTACCACATCCCAGGTGAACAAACTATAACACATTGTGTTGGAAAAAAAACTCTCAAATTTAGCACTTTATATCGAACTACTGAAGAAGGTAATGAACTTACTTTGTATATTCTTTCTGTGTTGACAAGTTTCTCTTCCCAACTCAGAGACATCTCTTTCATAAGCATCTCTGATTCCTCTAGTCTATCCTTCAGAATATCTGCTTTCATACTCTAAGAAAAAAAGATGGAGAAAGCAAATTTTAAAATAATATTGTTATGAAATACTATTAAGAAAATACTGGTAGTGTATATATCAAACTCTAAGAAATAAAAGATAGAAAAAGAAATGTTTAAATAGAATTGTTGTGAAATACTAAGGAAATAATGTAAAAATCAATCTGTATACAGAGTGTGCAATACCATGTAAAGCAGTACAAATATTACTAATTTTTAAATTATTAGATGATGCAGTGACGCATGTACATGAATACAATTTTATGAAGATATTCTGTAGATCACCGACACAAATCTCTGTCGGTGATCAGATATGTTTTGTCGGTGGGCAAAGGCATATCAAAATAATGGATTCTGAATCTTTCAACTGATGTGTCTGATGACAAAGGTGACTCCTCAGATGGTTATGAGGTCAACATTTTGTTTTTTAATTTACAAGAAAAACTTCATTTAGGTATTAATATCATATTTTGCTAACAGTTATTGCAACACTGAAATAGTTACCTTAGTTTCATGCGGGCAGCATAGATGTGGTTACGAACACATAGGTCACTTGGATAGTAAGCCATATCATTTGAAGTTGATCTAGACTTTGGGTTTGGGAAGAGAATGGTGTCAACAAAGACTTTCAGGTGCCGCTTCATCTCCTTCACATTGGTCACACCATGGCCAACCAGTTCTTGAACTTTAGTTATGAGATCCTTATTTAGAGGATTAAGAAACCTGGTGAGCTAAAAGAAAGAAGAAAAAAGAAAAGAACAGAAATTAAGTTAAAGAAAATTAGAAAATAATTAAAATTACAAAAAAATAATGGAAATATAATTAGAAAATTAGACAACAAGTAATATAAAACTGCAAATTCACTATATCTAAAAAAGAATCTTCTACACAATGCAGTTGGGATAAGACCTTTTTCTCATTTGGAATTAACAGACCTGAAAGTGTTCAAAAGGATCTGAGTTTTGTAAGGACCCAAACTTCAAGGTCGACTTATGTTGACAGACTGTACATTGTTATGTCATGCTTTAATTCTAAGGTGCCACAATAATGTGAAACCTGGTTTGACTCCTCATGGAACGGGATTAAATCATCATTAGTGTTAACCGATTGTGATACAATGTATCACATATATTCAAGAGCTTCTTCATTATCACTCCAGTGACCTATAGAAATTGAAATATTTAAAATTTCATGAAATAAAATACATAGGGAAAAGTGAGTGTGTGACATCAAAGGATCACTTATTTGCATACAGTCTATGTTAATGTATATTGTTGTTTTGTGAAACTGCACAAAACTTTAAAATGTTGTAACTTTATTATTTTACATCCTATTTTGATGAAGTTTTCAGTCTTATTTTTGTTTGATTTTACTCCATTTATTCTAATCAGTCTTTAACTGCATTAACAAAAAAGTGAGGGTTTTACCATTCCAATAGGATGTTTATTCTTGTGATCTTCATCTTTAGGCACAGAGATGTAGATTCGATGTTCAGTCACTAACTGTGTGCTACTTCTTATTGCCTCTCGTACCTCACGACTCTTCACACCTCGGGCATACGGGCTACTAGCTTCTTCTTTATTCAACTGGAAAGAAATGTAACCATCCGACGTTCAAAATCATTACCCAGATTTTAATATTTTTTTTAAAACTTCCATGTAAAAGTCAAGGTTCAGTTTTCATCATAAAGTAATGTTAAGATGTTGTGTGTCTGTCCTTCCGTTTGTTTGACGGCACTTTTCTCCATGACTGGACTAAAAAAATAGATAGTAATTCACTGTGAATTGTATCATGTAGATCAAAAATAGCACAGTGGCAGTCCATGGACCCAGACTAGGCCTCGGCTAGATCCAAGACTAGTGTGCAATGTAGATTTAAACTGCATATTTAGATTTCATGAAATTTATTACACTACAATATTCTTTTAAACAAATAATGCACAGCTCTTGCTCGAGCATGAGACAAATTCTTCAGACACTTCTAAAGTGAAGCATATGCTTTAATAAATGCAATCACAACTGCATATTATTTGTATAATAATGCATTGTAAATTAAAACGACCACCCTTCAAGCAATTTTGACTTGGCATTTGGCATTTCTGAAAGACCTGAAAGACTTCTACAGAACTGAAAGAGGGAACAGGAAGTACACAAATAAGAAATGTAAATTACCTGAAATTGAGGAAATCTAAGGACTTCCTTCATGATGATCTGAGCAGGGCATCCTTTTTTTCTTGAACCTTGGATCTTACGTCTTCGTTTGGTGGTTCCTGGATGATCACTCTAGAGAGATAGATTATAAACAATTCTCATTTGTAAGAAAATGCATTTGTCAAACGTCATGGAATATGCATTCAGCAACCCAAATTGTCACACTATGAGGTGGAGGAATCGTTTACATACAACATTGCATTTTCATGTCAAATAATCTGAATATTGTTTTTCCACTTGGAAAAAAGTACAATTTGGTTGAAGCTTCATGTACTTAAATGGGAAACTTAAATTTCAATGGCCAAGTCCATATCCACCTGACGCATTCGATGACTATACTGATGTCTTGATCTAGTTGCTGGTCATGCCGAACATCTACATCACTGCAGTCATCGAATGCGTCAACAATGGTGACGCATTAATCATTTGTAGTCGAGATTGTATCAACCATAGACATTGTATTTGTATAATGTCTCCATAAATCTGAGAAAGTTTTTAAAGAGTTACTGTAAATCTCTGTGTATAAGGCGCACTTTTTTGCCGCCGAAAAAATTTGAAAGTCGGGGGTGCGTCTTATACACAGGAAACTACAACAACACTCAAATTTGTCTGACATCTTGGTTTGAAAGTAATCTTTCTAATAGATCTCAATATGTAGTTTATAATAATAATTCCTCAATTTTTTTTTATAACAAATGGTGTACCACAAGGTACTCCATTGTCAGAAATTTAGAGGATGCTATTCATATCATGCATGACTATTGATGTTTGGCATAGAACACAGTGCTTTTGCTAGGTGATGTGATGAGGCTGGTGTGGGACACTTGGTATCATGAAGCCTTAGGCCCGAATTCACAAAGCAAGGTTTGAGCTCAAACCTCCTTTTGTTCCGCCAAACCTCCGTTTGTTATTTACAAACCAGGTTGTAAATAACAAAAGGAGGTTTGGCGGAACAAAAGGAGGTTTGAGCTCAAACCTTGGTCTGAGCTCAAACCTTGCTTTGTGAATTCGGGCCTTAGAGTCTGGACCTGTTTTTAATTTTCATTAATGATCTTACACATTCTTCTACAACGACATTGTTACTATTATTTGTGACAAGTTCACAACTTCAACTGCACTTCGATGTAAAATGAAGGTCCTTCCCCGCGTGGGTTTTCGGCAACAAAACAACAACAAAACAAAAAACTTCTTTTTTCCCCCCCCCCCCCAAAAAATAGGGGTGCGCCTTATACACAGGTGCGCGTTATACACAGAGATTTACGGTATGTCGGAATGCATGCATATTCTCTGTGTACATTGTATTTCATTATTCAATTGGCTAACTTATTTCAAAAGGATCTTAAACAAAAACTCACGAAACAGTGATTTTTTTTTTTCAGATGAAGACATTGACATGTAAATGTATTTTTGGTAATTTTTTTTTTAAATTGCCAAATTGGGTATGAAATATTTGATATTTTGTCATTTATGACGGGGAAAAAAAAAAGGGGGAAAAAAAAAGGGGGAAAAAAAGGGAATATGTCAGAAGGAAAACTACATGATTTGATTCGATTAGGTATTTCAGGCAAATTTTATGTGACTCATTTTCTTAGGAATCAAATGCATGTTAATACGAAGTATTTAAAATGAGGACATTTTTCTGTGAAGATTGAATATTATGTAAGGTTTTAATTTTACTGATCCAAGTGGTTACTTGTTTATTTTACACTCACTATGAATATCACGGACAAAGAAAGCGGACAAAATATACAGTTCCTCAGGTAGATAAAGGAACATCCCTTCACTGCTATTATGTACAAAAGGTGAATATGCATGTGACACCTGTTCTACACATTTTTACATAATAGCAGTGAAGGGATGTTCCTTTGTCTACCTGAGGAACTGTATATTTTGTCCGATCTCTTTGTCAGTCATGTTCATAGTGACTGTGCATTTAGCTTTCCACTCAGTTATGCTTCAGCGCACCTCTGACCTACATTCATTCTCTCATGTCTGCTAGCTCTTGGCTTCTATTGTTCTGTCCCTATTCATTCATCCTCATTCACATTACCTGCCATAGCACCACACACACACACACACACACACACACACACACTCTTCCTATCTATTGCCTATTCAACCCAGCACACTATAGGCACATGGCACTCTACCTTTACAAGCTTTTCTATTGGTTAGTTACTTATTGTCCAATCTTGTGATTGGTTATTATTGTTTGATCGACTGAATGTCAGCCATCTTGGCAGCCATTTTGTGGTTGTATTAAAATCCAACAGTGCAGCTCAAGTCATCAAACATGTGAGACTACCTTTGTCTTGTGTGGGTCCTTACAATAAAATCAAGTTGATTTAAATAAATTAAACTATCATAACAAAGAATGTATGATAAGATTTAAAATAAGATGGCCTTTTAAAGTTTTGCATCATTTCATGAAACAGTAATATGCAAAACATATGGGCGTCATGCAGATGAGTTAGCCGATGATGTCAAATAAAAGGGAGCAATTCTTTATAATCACATATAAATTGAATTATATATACCTCTCTTTAGAAATTTAGCCATCTGATTGGTCGAAATTGGAGTTGTGATTTTAGCCATGCCCGCCTAGGTGCCTACCGGTCAATAGTCTTTAAAAAACTGCCCGCATACCGGTCAATAGATTTTTTTAAAGATGCCCACATCTAAATGGCGCATAAATACATTTTGCTGAGATCCCCATTGGTTTATGTGTAAAAAAATTCTTTGAGCGAGCGCAGATACCATACATTTTTTTGGGTGTGATGTGGTCATACACACACAATGTATGGTATCCGCGCTCGCTCAAACCAGATTTTAACAAGTGAACGGGAATGGCTAAAACCGCGACTGCACTTTGGACCAATCAGATGGCTGGATTTCTTAAGTGAGGTACATAACTGAAGTTACTTGACTCCTTTAAAAAGTGGACATTATGTTGATTAACATTGATAGTTGATTTTATGAAAAAGTAATAATCAACTACACAAGCAATGTGAAGTTTTAAAAAATATATGCAAAGCATAGCAAAGCATTTAATAAAGATCTAGAGCTATACTGAAATAAAAAATTACAAAAATTCAAAGCTAGTAGTAGGGTGTCTGAACGATTTTTCAATTTTCAATTTGGGATCGTTTTTCACCATTTTTGTTTGATATTTGAATTAAAAATGTAATCAGAATAATACATTTCAAATTTCAAGTCTCGCCGATGTTTCTATCAAAAGATACAGCCCCTTCAAAACGCTGAAATATTCATAGCATTTTGCTCAGAATCGACGAAAAAGACGTACACGCAGAGTTATGTTGTTTTGCTAAATTTAGCCAAACAGCTGTATCGCGCGATATGCAAGCGTATGCATATCGTACGCAAGTTGCTCAGCCAATGCGCGACTTGCAAGCTTGAGCCACGCTGTCTCCGCGATATGTGCCATTGACTAGTATGGGTGGCCGTTCCCGCCATAGAACCCGGAAGTGAATACACGTTGTAGTCAATGGCAATATCGCGGAGTTGTCTCCGCGATATTGCCATTGACTACAACGTGTATTCACTTCCGGGTTCTATGGCGAGAATCGGCCACCCATACTTTCATTCACTATAAGCACACATGTTACGATGTAACCATGGTTTGGACTGAGCGGAGCTCACGCCTCCCTAATTAGCTGATTCCAAAAATGTGGGAAGGGTATTTTCAAACTGTTATAACAAATGATCCCTTGGGGCTAGCGAAAAAAAAAGCATCTGGATATTATCCTTACGTCTAGCCCTGCTTAAGCCGCGGGGGCGCAGCTCAGGAAAGTGGCAAATTTTGGAGCTAGGATGCAAACAACATTTCAATCGCTGTTTTGACCAAGATATTTTTAGAATTCTGGGGGTGGCCCCCTATGGGGAATATGGAGAAAAACCTGCTCTTTCATATGACACCTCATTTATTGAGTTTCACCTTCAGGATCATTTGTTATAAAGGTTTGAATTTCAAATTTTTTCATAAAATCATTGACCAATTTTGGATGGTCGCGCAATGCACGTAGACCACATAGGGAAGCGTACAATCTCTATGGGAAGGGTTTTAGCACACAACATTGGGTGCGCGATCAGACACCCTACTAGTAGTAGGGTCTAGTACAATCTTGGATGAACCTGTAATTAAACATTTGATTCAATATTATCATAGACCTATCAAAAATGTTATCATTATGATAACTTACCTGCTGTTCTTCCTGCCTTTGGGCTTTCATCTTCCCCTGTGCAGATTGATGTTTGTTTCTTCCGTACATATAATTTAGTACATATGTACCAAGAATGATGAACAGAACACCATCATTTGGAACAATGGATGAGCCGGACTTCGTTGTGAAATTGAATCTTACACAGTGAGACTTCAGGGCAAGACCTTTGAAAGAAAGATAAGCAAAACAATAATTATTGGCAAGACTTCATTTCAGATACGGAGATCAGAAAACAATATATATTGACAAGACTTTGTTGTCCGTAAGGAGATCAGAAAACGATAATTATCTGGACTTCATTGCCCGTACGGAGTTGTAAAAAACAGTAATTATTGGCAAGACTTTGTTGCCCGTACGAGATCTAAAATCAATTATTAGTAGTTAGATTTTGTTGCCCGTACAGAAATCTAACAAAAAAAATTATTGGCAAGACTGCGTTGCCGGTACGGAGATCTAACAACGATAATTATTTGGACTTCATTGCCCGTACGGAGATCTAACAACAAAAATTATTGGCAAGACTGCGTTGCCCGTACGGAGATCTAAAAACAATAATTATTTGGACTTCATTGCCCGTACGGAGAGCTAACAAAAATTATCTACAAGACTTTGTTGCCCGTACGGAGATCTAAAAATAATAATTATTGAGGCTTCGTTGCCAGTACGGAGATCAGAAAACAATAATTGTTGGCAAGACTTTGTTGCCCGTACGGAGATCTAAAACCAATTATTATTGGCAAAAATTTGTTGCTTGCACGGAGATCTAAAAACAATAATTATTGGCGGAACTTCATTTCCGATACTGAGATCAGAAAACAATAATTATTGACAATACTTCGTTGCCCATACAGAGAGGCCCTAACGAAGATCAATAAACAATAATTATTGGCAAGATTTTGTTGCCTGTATGGAGATCTAAAAAACAATATATATTGACAAGACTTTGTTGCCCGTACGGATATCTGAAATCAATTATTATTGGCAAGACTTCGTTGCTTGCACGGAGATCTAAAAACAATAATTATTGGCCGGACTTCATTGCCTGCACAGAGATCAGAAAACAATAATTATTGGCAAGAATTTGTTGCTAATACGGAACTCCTTGCCGATACAGAGATCTAAAAACATTATGTCTTTATCGAAATGACTGAATACTTGAGAATTTAAACACATGTAAAAATATGTTAACTAAGTGCATGCTTATTGCTCTTATACTTATTTAAGCATTTCTAGTGTCCTTTTAGGACTTAAAATTGCTATGAAGGTAATTTTAGACTCCTAAATGTGTGAAATATAGCCAGTATGATCATACAAATTCAGCTCTACTTACAAACAAAGAATGACATAAGAGAAGGTGAAAGAAGGAAGATACAAAGAATAACATAAGAAAAAGACAGAAAGAGAAGGTTATAGAAGGAAGAAACAAAGAATAACATAAGGAAAGACAGAAAGAGAAAGTGATAGAATGATAAAAACAAAGAACAACATCAGAGAAGATGATAGAAGGAAAAAACAAAGAATAACATAAGGAAAGACAGAAATAGAAGGTTATAGGAGGAAGAAACAAAGAATAACATAAGGAAAGACAGAAAAAGAAAGTGATAGAATGATAAAAAACAAAGAATAATATAAGAGAAAGTGAAAGAAGCAAAAAAACAAAGAATAACATAAGAGAAGATGACTGAAGAAAGAAACAAAGAATAACATAAGGAAAGACAGAAAAAAAAAGTTATAGAAGGAAGAAACAAAGGATAACATAAGGAAAGACAGAAAGAGAAGGTTATAGAAGGAAGAAACAAAGAATAACATAAGGAAAGACAGAAAGAGAAAGTGATAGAATGATAAAAACAAAGAACAACATCAGAGAAGATGATAGAAGGAAAAAACAAAGAATAACATAAGGAAAGACAGAAATAGAAGGTTATAGAAGGAAGAAACAAAGAATAACATAAGGAAAGACAGAAAAAGAAAGTGATAGAATGATAATAACGGAGAATAATATAAGAGAAAGTGAAGGAAGCAAAAAACAAAGAATAACATAAGGAAAGACAGAAAAAGAAAGTGATAGAATGATAAAAAACAAAGAATAATATAAGAGAAAGTGAAAGAAGCAAAAAAACAAAGAATAACATAAGAGAAGATGACTGAAGAAAGAAACAAAGAATAACATAAGGAAAGACAGAAAAAAAAAGTTATAGAAGGAAGAAACAAAGGATAACATAAGGAAAGACAGAAAGAGAAAGTGATACAATATAGAAGAAAATGGAAAGAAAGAAGAGAAGATGAATGTTAGAAAAACAAAGAATAACATAAGGAAAGACAGAAAGAGAAAGTGATAGAATGATAAAAACAAAGAACAACATAAGAGAAGATGATAGAAGGAAGAAACAAAGAATAACATAAGGAAAGACAGAAAGAGAAAATGATTAAAGAATAGAAGAACATGGACAGATACATGTAGAAGAGAAGATAAATGATAGAAAAACTAAGAATAACATAAGGAATGTTAGGAAGAAAAGTAAAGAACGATAAAAAGAAAGAATAAGAAAAGGTGATGGAAGGAAGAAACAAAGAATAACATAAGGAAAGACAGAAATAGAAAGAGATAGAATTTTTTTTTTTAAATAACATAAGAGAAGATGAAAGAAGGAAGAAACAAAGAATAACATGAGAAAAGACAGAAAGAAAAGGTTATAGAAGGAAGAAACAAAGAATAACATAAGGAAAGACAGAAAGAGAAAGTAATAGAATGATAAACAAACAAAGAATGACATAAGAGAAGGTGAAAGAAGGAAGAAACAACGAATAACATAAGAAAAGACAGAAAGAGAAGGTTATAGAAGGAAGAAACAAGGAATAACATAAGAAAAGATGATAGAAGGAAGAAACAAAGAAAAATATAAGAAAAGACAGAAAGAGAAAGTGACAGAATGATAATAACAGAGAATAAAATAAGAGAATGTGATCGAAGGACGAAACAAAGAATAACATAAGGAAAGACAGAAAAAGAAAGTGATATAATGATAAAAACAAAGAATAACATTAGAGAAGATAAAAGAAGGAAGAAACAAAGAATAACAGAAAGAGAAAGTGATACAATATAGAAGAAAATGGAAAGATAGAAGAGAAGATGAATGTTAGAAAAACAAAGAATAACATAAAGAAAGACAGAAAGAGAAAGTGATAGAATGATAAAAACAAAGAACAACATAACTTACATAAGAGAAGATGATAGAAGGAAGAAACAAAGAATAACATAAGGAAAGACAGAAAGAGAAAATGATTTAAGAATAGAAGAAAATGGACAGATACATGTAGAAGAGAAGATGAATGATAGAACTAGATGGAACTTTGACTGCGCGCAGTCGAAATGATGCCTCCGTCATAGAGCAATTTTACAAACCAAAACAGAAGAAATTTTTCAAATTCAAGTTCAATTGTAATCCATTAACAGGTTCTCAGAATATCGTGATTACAAGCAATTTCTCATATACATATATGACCCTTTGATCTTTGACCACAAGACCCTAACATCTACTCAGTTCATTGGCTCTGCAAGATGTCCCGAGTTAAATAGTAATCCATCTGTCAGTTCTAATGAGAATGCGTTCACAAGCTATTTTTGCATACATAATGAGCCCATGACCTTTGACCTCATGACCCAAGAATCTACTCAGTTCATTGGCTCTGCAAGATACATACATGATCTAAGTTTGGGAGGAATCCATCAATGTGTTCTAATGATAATGCGATCACAAGCTATTTTTGCATGCATAATGAGCTGCATGACCTTTGACCTTGACCTCATGACCCCAAAATTTAATCAATTCATCGGCTCTGCAAGTAACATACATGACCTAAGTTTGGCAGGAATCCATCAATCGGTTCTTGAGATAACGCGATCACGAGCTGTTTCAGCATACATAATGAGCCCTGTGACCTTTGACCTCGTGACCCCAAAATCTAATCAGTTCATCAGCTCTGCAAGATACATACATGTCTTAAGTTTGGCAGGAATCCATCAATCGGTTCTTCAGATAACGCGATCACGAGCTGTTTCAGCATACATAATGAGCCCTGTGACCTTTGACCTTTGACCTCGTGACCCCAAAATCTAATCAGTTCATTGTCTCTGCAAGATACATACATGACCTAAGTTTGGCAGGAATCCATCAATCGGTTCTTCAGATAACGCGATCATGAGCTGTTTTTGCATACATAATGAGCCCTGTGACCTTTGACCTTTCACCTCGTGACCCCAAAATCTAATCAGTTCATTGTCTCTGCAAGATACATACATGACCTAAGTTTGGCAGGAATCCATCAATCGGTTCTTCAGATAACGCGATCATGAGCTGTTTTTGCATACATAATGAGCCCTGTGACCTTTGACCTTTGACCTCGTGACCCCAAAATCTAATCAGTTCATTGTCTCTGCAAGATACATACATGACCAAATTTTGGCAGCAATCCATCAATCGGTTCTTCAGATAACGCGATCACGAGAACGGGACGTACAGACGTACGTACGGTACTACTCACGACAGTATGCTTGTGAGATTTTTGTCTTGTGTGTCTGAAAAAAAGGGGTATCTTGTGTGTCTTTTCATTTTTTCCTTCTAAAGACTACTTGTGTGTCTTAATTCCCAACTTCTTGTGTGTTTGTCTAAAATTAAATGAAAATGCATCTTGTGTTTTTTTTAATACAATATGTGTTGAGACTGGTTTTTAAAATTAAAATTAAGGCTTGTATGCCCAAAAGACATTATTGTCTACCTCTATCCAAGTCAGGAAAATTGAGGCTTGTGTCCCGCAAAAACACATCATTTACCCGCCTAAGTCGTGAAAATTGAGGCTTGTGTGGCAGAAAAGACGATCAGCTACCCTGTCCAAGACAAGAAAATTAAGGCTTGTGTGCCTAAAAAACTTGATGTCCAAAAAGTATACAACTATTTATTTGTGACTTTTGAATGACCAAAAAATTGATTTATCTTTTTTCCTCATTGAATAGAAACATCACACACATATAATACAGGTAATGCAATAATATTCCAATGCTGTGGAGGAACCAATGAAAAGCCAAGGAGCTTGTCATGGCAGAAAGATTATTTACCCCTGTCCAAGTCAAGAAAATTAAGGCTTGTGTGGCATAAAAAACATTACA